GTGGTGGGATAATTCTTATTCCCAGCAATTGAAGATCCTGTTTGATTCTAAGTCCAACTTCATCAGGTTCACTAGCCATCCTAGTGCGTGAGCAACTTAATTGTGAAGTTCAGCTGCTGTCTGAGTTGATTGGCACTGTATGCTGTCGTCCAGATAACCGGCACTGCATAGACCTCGAGGCTGCAGATAGCCGCCGATAGGCTTGGTTATTCGTATGAATAATCATAGAGCCGACGATATTCCAAACGGTAGGACGTTCCATTGGAACTAACCACCTCCGTGGTGTAGAGCTTAGAGCGTCCGCCCGGAGAACAAAAGGTCGCGGGTTCGATCCCCGACCGCGTCATACCAAAGGACATTAAGATATGGTAGTTGTTGGTCCCTGCCCGGCGCTCGGCATGAAAGGGTACAACAAGGACTGGTCGGCTCAGAGTCAGTATAATGTGTCTGAGTGGGGTATTCCTGCAGAATGGTATCTCAGTGGGCTAGCACTATAAAACCAGCTTCAGTCCTGGCTAGTACAAGCAGCCGCATATACACATACACACGCATGCACGTCGTCATATGAGCGAAATATTCTCAAAGCACGACGCTAAACCCACTATCACCTCACCTCCATTGGAAGTGCTAACCTCTGATTGCAGTGATGATACATCATTCTTCCCCTTATATAATACGCAGGCGATCTGTGTGGACATCGAAGCATTTTCTATGTATAGCAAGGCGGGATCGAGTGTAGCATCGCAGGGGACAGGTACTCATACCGACTTTCATCAGAGACAACTTCCAAAATCATCATTGTGTATCCTGCTGTCAAGGCTAGACATCTATTAGATTCCCATGACGATAACAGGCCGTAGTTGTATACTGTTTCCAAGGCTGACGCTGAAGTATTCCCCTGTACCACGGGTTTGTTTACAAATCAGAAAACATGCTGGAGCCTGCTCTGTCAGTGGGAGGCGTTGTCTGACGTGGACCAATCAGCTTTAAGCATGACGTCACCGGTGTTGTAGCAAGTTGGCCTCCATAAAATCTGATGCAGTTAGTTGGTTGAGTAAAAGCGCGTGGCTTCATAGGTGATATCATATTGGAGTCGAGGTCATCAGCATATATGCAGTACGTCTCTGTTGGGTTGGAGTGAGTGAGTGAACGACAATATCCGCAGGCCATCTGCTACCCGGTATAAGACCTCAGCATCCGTATAGATGAAGTGATTCCTTTCATCAAGTAGATTGTCGTCCGAAACTGAACCTATACAGGTATAAGGTTTGTGCACGTTTTCATCATTTTATTAAGCCGTATGGTAATAGAGTCGACGTCAACATCCTGCCTGTTGATGTAAGGGTTTGTTAACCCTAGGGTTCGGGAACCCTGTAGATATCTGCGTTGCTGTTATCTGCCTATACTTCTGAGAGTTCTCGAACCTTGTATTTGTCTGTAGCTTTCTCAAATCTGTGCGTAGGTTAGAAGGTACCTTGGATATAGGTTTAATCAGGGGAATAGTCACCGAGTTAAAGTCGTCATTACGCATCTTCTAAGTGTAGACTTCACCTATATCCTTAGAAGGAGACTCCAAGTTCAAACCATTGGCTTTCCAATCTGTAACCTCTGAGTCCGGGAAGACGAAGTCTGGTTATTCATCAGTTATATCCTGATAGAGCTATGCCTCCATGAATGATCCTTCTGCGAACCTGTACCCCTTCTCGAACCTCCATCATCCTTTCGCAAACTGAAGATTCCTCCCTTCGCGAAAGTCTATCTTGAGAGTCCTGTCTTCGCGAACCGATATCTGTGGATACATCTCTTTGCAAACCTCTGTGATGTGAGCCTTCTCTTCGCGAACCTCTGTCGCTAGATGTATCCCTTCGCGAACCTCTGTGATGTGAGCCTTCTCTCCGCGAACCTCTGTCTCGTGATGAGTGACTTCATGAACGTTGTGAAGATATGAGATCTCGATCTAGAATGGCTAGGTGTAGGAGATGAATCCTTTGATGTTCTCGAACGTTGAGGGTTCGCAGATGTAGAACGGTGAGTAGGCATCTCATGTCTTCTATCTTCCTCCAAGATGATAAAGTCGTCAGACTGTGGAGGCCTTTGCAAAGGTGTACGTTCGGCAACGTAGTCTTGAGACGTAGTTCTATGTGGAGTAGGTTCGCACAGGTCCGTAGGTTCGCGCAGGTCCGTAGGTGTCAGTCGATGAGAGGCTTCGCCGAGCCTTCGCTTCTTCCTCGAACCTCCGTTCCATCATAGCCATCATCTGGTTGGTGAATTGTCTCATAATTTCACCCAGATCAAGTTCTGCATTGATTGAAGCTGCTGCGGTGTAGAAGAAGCGGTCGCAAAAAACGCTGATGAGTTGTGTGCCTCAACTTCACCCGTTGAGAAGTTGGTGGTAGTTCGTCAAACAGCTGGCTAGCTGTGACCCTTGCAGGAGACGATCTAGTAGTCGTGGAAGTCGATTGAGTCGCCGATCTCGTAGGTACTTCGGGTAGAGGTAACGGGGGATCATCTAAAGACGTCTACTACATGCGGAGGTAATATCTCTTCGTTGAAGGATTTCTGATGTGTTGACTTACTAGGCGGTGTAGATGTACCCTCCGATCTGGTAACAGATGCTTTCTTCTGCGACGTAGAAGAAGAAGACGTCTTTTTCTTGGCTTGAGTCAGTGTCAACTGCGTTGTAGCCGATCTCTTCTTGGCCCCCGTACCAGCAGACTGCCCCTGCAACGTATTCAACATAGCACCAGTATTATGAATCTCCGCAGTAGCAATCAACATACGGTTTGCAGGCTGATCTCCTGTTTTATCAGCTGTGACTTGAAATGACTTCTTCACCCGATCCATGGCACGTTGACAGATATAAGACAAATATTGATTAACTTGTAGGTTTGCTAAATCAACACAATAAGTACAACGCAAGCTGGAAGAACATGGTTTTATGCACGAAAGGCATTAGGGATGAGGATCAGCCACGGATAACCTGTGCCTGCAAACACTGCAGGATTTCATGAAATGTAAACAAAGTTACATAACGATGAAATTATGACACAAATACAACTAATTTTTACACATAATACATAGTTATTACTGCCAAATCCATACACTGCGTAATTTTGAAGAATAGGACCTAAATAAAAAGGGCTAAAAGGGAGAGAGTGAGAAGTAAGGCTGGTCACATGACTGTTTAAGCGGGAAAAGGGAGGTAACTCGTGGGTGAGTGTGTTTTTACGTCCGCTTCGGGAACTTCAAGGGATTCAAGTGTTTCACTACCATTTGCAAGGGATAGGGAGATAAGCAAAAGATCATGAGTCAGGATAAGAAAAATTATATATACTGAGAAGCAATAAAAACGCATATGAGGAAGAAATGTCAGATATATTTCTCATATGTCCAAAAATTACATATGGCGGTACAGGAAAAGGCATTGTGATGACTTGTAAACAATACTGCAGTGTTTACAGAGGATTACGGATGCAACAATGTCTTTGCGAGCATCTCCAAAACAAGTGGTATGAGAACACACAACTGTCAGATGACACATTTCAATACCCGTGTGTGTCCTCCTTGGGCAGCCATGCATGTCCGAGTCTGCCAGGCATTGACAAGCACAATCTCCGAATCAAAGCTTGTGGAACGGCTCTCCAGTGAAACTGCAAAGCTTGTGTCAACTCAGCTACAGTTTGGGGAGGATTCAACTGACGTCTCACACGGCGCCCAAGTCCTTTCCACATATGTTCAATCGGATTAAAATCAGGTGATCGCGAGGGCCAGTTCAAGACATCCACATTGTTCTGATGCAAAAGTCCTGTGTTATCCTAGCTGTATGTGGCCTGGCATTATTATGTTGGAACACGAGGCGATGTCGTCCATGTCGACCCATCAATGGCAGAAGCACTGGTTGCAACACGTTGTCAATGTAACGTCGGGCGTTGAGGTTCCCTTGAAGAACAACCAAGTCAGAGCAGAAGTTCACGTTAATGCCCCCCTGCGACACACACACACATACACCATAACTCCACCACCACCAAAACGATCACGCTCATTGACACAAGGCTGAGCAAAACGTTCATGATTATGGCGATAGACACGTAGCCGACCATCAGGGAAACTGACGTTGAAACGTGATTCATCTGTGAAGGTGACATCTCGCCACTGTCTAGCACCAAGATAGCCTCCAGCAGCTACCCATTTAGGCGATGTGCATGGGTGAAGATCTGTCCGAGACAGGATCGACGACAATGGATGTGACGTGCAGCAAGGCGACGGCGTACTGTCCACACGGTCACTGATGGAAAGTCCTCTCGTTCCTATCGTGGCATTTGCAGTCTCACGTGCAGACCTGAAGCGATTCCAAAGATGACTAACGACGATGTACCGATCTTGCCTTTGTGACGTCACACGAGGCGCTCCCGGACGTGGATGGTCTTGGACACTTCCTGTTGCCCTATGACGTTGCTGTAGCCTCGAAATGGTCGTCTGGTGGACGTGGAAGTGATTAGCAACATCTCTATGTGTTTGGCCAGCATGCAGCATTCCAAATGCTTGGTTCCTTTGAGTGTTGGTCAACCGAGGCATCGTGAATGTGAATGAAAGCCATTTCTCAACCTGTGCTTTTATGGGTGCTGAGTGTGCACATTCCACGTGCACCATGTTTTTATGTTCATGTAACTGCATTGTCATCGCACATGCTCTTGGGTGCGTTTGAGGTGTCACGTCCCTGTGATTTGAAAACGTGGGATTCGAACCTAAACATCAGCATTTCTTAACCATATGTTTTCACCATATTGTAGTTTTGGAAACAGCAACATCTCTAAAACAGATTTAGAGTAGAAAGTCCAATATGCTTTTGTAACGCCTCTCAGTATATTTGGGGGTTACAGGTGGCGTGCACTGAGAATGTGGGCTATAATCACGGATGAAACTCAACCCAAAGGCAACAACATTAGAATCAGCACTTTACGGAAAATGTATAATCCCAAATATAACACGCTTCAGTTGTATAACTGTTCATTCCAGCTTTTACATACTTTATTCAGAACTTGTACGTAAAGTCGGAACAAAACAACATTTGTCAAAGCTCCAGAAGAACATTTATTCACGATTTACACGTCCCCGAATCAGCTTGAATCACGAGCCGACATCCACAGTCTGTGAGTAGTAAGCTGTGTATCCACACGCATCAATGGCTGTTATGGAGACATAAACGTGAGTGACAGTTTGAGGGTGCGAGGACAGGTTGAGGACCATCTGTTCCTGACGGGTCAGCAGCCCGTCCACTATATCTGCCCCACCCTCTACCCTGCCCACCATCACCTCATACACCAGCTGGCCCCAGGTGGAGGTGAACAGGCCCGGCCAGGACAGAGTCGTCACCCTGTCGGACGTCCTGGACGAAATCATCGCAGCTTCTGAAAAATACCAGACATCCAGTAACACCGTGTTTGTACGCTGCTTTTAGCAATATTGCAGCAATATCACGGCCGGGGACACCAGAGATGGGCTTCACTCATAGTACTCATGTGGGGAATCTCACCCGGGCCTTCGGGGTGAACACTTCAACCTCACTGCCCCTGTTTCTGTAGAAAATTATAAATGTTAGCGAATGATGTTGATGATGATGTTGTTGTTGTTGATGATGATGATGAATACCAGGAAATAGATACAGCAGATCACCTGTACAGCAATTAAGTATTATTGGTGCTATTTGTATATTGTCATGTAATCTCTGAGACAAAGCTTACTGTTTAGTCTTGGTTGAGGTCCATGCATGGTGATGGATGTTTCTGTCGGGTTCCCAGCCTTGTCCAGCACATGCATGGCGCTGATGTTGTAGGTTGTCAGGTCGCTGAGCTTCAGGCCACACAGCTGGGCAGATGTGTATGTGAATGTACTCGGGACGCTCTGCTGGTACAGCAAACTGCTACCCTGGATGCGAACCTATCAACAAACAGGTATGAATGTTAGATATACGTGTATGGATGGGAGTTTCATTAGTTGTACTGATAAAAGGGCACCTGTCTATGTAGTAGATGTCAGCTGGAGGAGACCTACCAGGGTGGTGTGAGGGGTCTCGGTTTCTCCTCCCTCCCACTGAAGTCTCACAGTGTCTCGGGCTACGTGACACTGGTCTCTGTCTGAGAACACAGACGGCCTCTCCTCCAGGACCTTGAAGCCAGCAACAGATGCCATGTCCTCACCGGACACGAGAACTACGCCATTAGATGAAGACTCGGAGATCTGCCCGACCTTGGTATAGCAACGTACTGTCGTGTACACCTTCAAACTAGACGAGGCCACCAGATCAGTCAGATTCCACCTTACATCTCGTACTCCAGGTTCAGTTCTAGCAAACCGACGGACATCATCATCCCCTGGGGTGTGCCCTGCAAAGGAAAGGCGAACTAAGCACTCAGAAGATGGCAATAGTACCCTTAGGACACACAAAGAAATGATAAAACAAACACAAGACACGCACTTGCTAAATAATTGTATGATTCCATTGATTAATGTATTTATCGCTTGGGATAAGTTTTCATTTTAACAACAAACAGATGTTACCCACAGCTGCCTCACTGTTCCCTACCTATAGCGACGTCACAGCTGAAGGAATCTGACTCTTCATCTTCCACAGCCCAGTTGGCTGCCATGTCCCCTGGTGATAGGAAATCTGTATCCACACCTAGAAACGGAGCATTAGGCCTGTATCATCATCATACAACCATGGTGGCAGATCATACTTACGTGGTGTTGTCCAAATAGGTTTTCTATCAAATGGTGTGTCAATCACTATTACATAAGGTAAGGCCCGGCTGAGACATCAATGTATTTGGGGACAGCAACCACTGCCAATGTCAGAAACGTTTTATATATATATATTCTTTTGCACTGATGTTTTATATTTACTGGAACTGGTACGATGTTTCTACTGGTAGACTGACGTTCCCGAGTTTCATCAGAACTCAGTAGCATTTATCATGTCCACTTGAAAGTACATTTTTGGTCAGAGTCATAACTACCAATGTGTCAAATGTCAGCAGCGGAATCTCTGAGCATCTACAAAGCAATTTTTACATATGGATTTTCTGGTTGATCGATCACTTGATTGTCATACATGGCAGTCAACTCTGGGTATTCTTTGTATATTTACCTGAACCATCGTTGACTTGTTGTATAGTTGGTGCTGTCATGTCCACCGTCAGGGGGTCTGCTCTCGTCAGTGATGTCAGGCCGACAGCGTTAGTGGCGAGTACCGACACATACAGTCTGCAGTTGTGAGTCAGCTTCTTGGCAGAAAGTGTTCCTTGAGGGTTTCTACCAACGTTAGTGAAGCCTTGTAACTGTGTACCGCCCTCCACCAGACCTGCATGAAGAGGTGATGTCATCATGTACAGTCGTTTTAGGCTACTTAGGTCAATAGTTTTCGTTCTTTATCCCGTTCAAGTCTAAGAGAATATGTAGTTTTGATATCACACCTCACCTGACACACGTTAGACCCTTCGAAAATACTATTCTGCGTTATGATGAAGATCTCGGGTTTCACAGTCACCACAAGGAACAGGTCAAGCTCTTTTGAAACTCCCAACAATTTGCATCCCTAATGTGAACCTATTCAGCTCTAATGGGTTCGAAATCCATAATAGCCTGAATGTGATGCTTATCTTTTGAGTATAATACACGTGTCCTGAAATTTCCACGTGAGTTAAATTTAAGACCTGTATCACCTGCATCCTTGTTTTCTCTCAGAGAATGCAGATACGCCATGGTGTAAACAGTCTAAGTCAAACCCTGTCAAGAGTATCCCACCTCTCGCCTTAACCGACAACCAGCTGGTACCATGTCATCAGGATTCCCAAATGTCCCCTTCTACACGAAAAGGACTCACGTGATGCCTACAAGTACATTATGAGAGAGTCACCTTCTGGCTATTGCTACATGATGGTGACTCACCTACTGCCCACTGGAACATGGTGATGGGAGACTCACCTTCTGCTGACTAGTACATGGTGATGGGGACTCGCCTACTGCCAAATTGTACATGGTGACCTTCTGCCCACTGGTACATGGTGATGGGGGACTCACCTACTGCCCACTGGTACATGGTGATGGGAGACTCACCTATTACCCACCTAACATGGTGCCCACTGCCAACTGGTACATGGTGATGGGAGACTCACCCTGCCCACTGGTACATGGTGATGGGGACTCACCTACTGCCCACTGGTACATGGTGATGGGGGACTCACCTACTGCCCACTGGAACATGGTGATGGGGGACTCACCTACTGCCCACTGGAACATGGTGATGGGGGACTCACCTACTGCCCACTGGTACATGGTGATGGGGGACTCACCTACCGCCCACTGGTACATGGTGATGGGGACTCACCCACTGCCCACTGGAACATGGTGATTGGGGACTCCTGCCACTGGTACATGGTGATGGGGGAGACTCACCTACTGCCCACTGGTACATGGTGATGGGGAGACTCACCTACCGCCCACTGGTACATGGTGATGTTGGGGACTCACCTACCGCCCACTGGTACATGGTGATGGGGGACTACTGCCCACCTACTGCCCACTGGAACATGGTGATGGGAGACTCACCTACTGCCCACTGTTGTACATGGTGATGGGGGACTCACCTACCGCCCACTGGTACATGGTGATGGGGACTCACCTACTGCCCACTGGTACATGATGATGATGGGGACTCACACCTGACCGCCCACTGGTACATGGTGATGGGGACTCACCTACCGCCCACTGGTACATGGTGATGGGGACTCACCTACCGCCCACTGGAACATGGTGATGGGAGACTCACCTACTGCCCACTGGTACATGGTGATGGGGACTCACCTACTGCCCACTGGTACATGGTGATGGGAGACTCACCTACTGCCCACTGGAACATGGTGATGGGGACTCACCTACTGCCCACTGGTACATGGTGATGGGGGACTCACCTACTGCCCACTGGTACATGGTGATGGGCGACTCGCTGTCCGTGAAGTGCCAGGACACATGCAGGGACGACCAGTGAGGCAGGAACACGGCGTTCACCTCCACGTGCTTCTCTGTGTCCACAGTCTCGTCATGTCCACTATAGGTGACGCTCTGCATTGTCACGTGATCAACCGCCATCACCATGGATCTTGACTTTGTGCCAATAGTAAGTTGTGCTGATTCCTCCCGAGCTATGAAGGAAAGTGTGTGTGTATTCCACATGATAACAGAATGTCTACCCACATCACACACCCCTCGGCACAGATTGGGCTCAAGACTGAACGTGATGACTTCAGCGCCAACTGACACGAAGCCTTCTATAGCGATATGATGTGTGTCCGTGACCTCTGTATATCCTGCATGAATCTTCACTTTGTACATTTGTCCCACATTGAGATGTATACCTGCCTGCAGAACAGATCCGCTGACTACAACATAGCTGCTACCATGTCTGGCTAATTGACGCTCGGATGTAATGGTGTGTATACACGAATAGTTGTCAATCTGCCAGTACTCGGGAACACGGTCATTACATGTCGATGAATTCAAAGGTTTATTTTGTATCTCAAACGAGGGATTTTTCACCAGGTTGTCTCCCAAGTATGCAACGGCCTGTGGGTCTGGGGGAGACGTGTCCACGACAACACCATCCGATACAGCTACGTCTGAGGCGTGACCCACTGCATCTACAGCATACACCTTGCTCCATAAACGTGTACCTAGAAGCAAGGAAATATCAATATCAAGAGAATCCTAAAGACTCTTTTGTGCCATCGAGAACTTCATAAGGTGTGGCAACCTGCATCATTCGACCTTTGTTGACAGACTGAACTTCCGTCACCATTGGAAAATACATGCTTTAACAAATTGCTGCTGAACAATTACTTTTGTGACATTTTGTAATTCACCGGAAGTACGAGAAGAAGCATGAGCACAACCACCAGTAGTGAGTTTCCTGGGTAATCACTATGAATCTATACTGACAGAAGAGGCGTGTTGACATCTAGGTCAGATGAACTGATCTGGACACATACCACTCTGGAGAATCTATACTGACAGAAGAGGCGTGTTGACATCTAGGTCAGATGGACTGATCTGGACACATACCACTCTGGAGAATCTATACTGACAGAAGAGGCGTGTTGACATCTAGGTCAGATAAACTGATCTGGACACATACCACTCTGGAGAATCTATACTGACAGAAGAGGCGTGTTGACATCTAGGTCAGATGAACTGATCTGGACACATACCACTCTGGAGGGTGAAGCAAGTTGTGCCTTGAAGGTGGTGTGAAGCCCGGTATCCCGCCAGCCTAGCACACTGCAGTCGGTTGTGTCGTTGAGTCTTCCCACACACCAGAAGTACGTGATGATGGTGGAGTCCGTGTCGGAGAAGCCGTGCCAGGAAGCCGATACAGCGGATGGAGAACTCTGGTAGTCCGTGTCGTGCATCTCTGCCGGAATGGACCAAACAAAATCAGTGGTCAAGGAATAATCACTTCTCACAAGGTATTGTAACCCGTGTGCTGATCCTTGTACCCCAAACATGGATTATTATGGACGTATTCTAATCGGGTAGTTGGGCACTGTGAAGTCAAAGCTCTTCGTGTAGACATTAATCATTCCCTAAACGTTCTATCACGTTTCTAGACTTAAGACAAACAGGAGGCCCTGAAGGACATACCTTGTCCATCACTGACTGTACCCGCTACTGGAGGCAGCACGTCCACTCGGACACCATCAGAGTAGGCCCAGCTGACCAGGCCAGCCCTGCTGTAGGCCACGACACTGGAGAAGTACACTGTGGCTGCCTGTAAACTCAGGTTCCTTGCTGTGTAGCTCGTCGTGGTCAGGTCATCAGACGCGTGGATATTGTGTCCTGAAGAGTGAGTGAGTGAGTGAATGGGTGAGCGGGTGAGTGAGTTGGTGGGTGGGTGGTTGGCTTTGGGTGGGTGAGTTTTGCCACATTATCACAGAGAGACACCAGAAAAGGGTTTCACACACTGTGCACAAAATCTTATGCACCAGGATCTATTCTTTAGAATTACCACCAGTTTGCATTGCCTTTGCGCAGAGATGTGTTTATTTGGATGCGTTAAGTACTGTATGCCATGACTCAGGGTATGACGCATGGACACAAGCTACCAGGCTAGATACATCAAGTACGTCGACATTCACGTCATCTTATATACTGATCTGTAATATGTTGATGGAGTCGGGAAGCTGTGGACGCTCACCCCCGGGGCTTGTGCTGATGTAGACTCGGTACTTCAGAATACCAGTGGCGCCCGGCAGGAACTTGTTGGTCCAGCTGATCCTCATTGTGTCCGTCTCCTTCTGGAAGTCTACATCCTTCAGTCCATCGTCACCTCTCACCTCAATAACCTGCATCATTCACATATAGTCTACATCCTTCACTCCATCGTCACTCCTCACCTCAATAACCTGCATCATTCACATATATCTACATCCTTCATTCCATCGTCACCCCTGATCCCAATAACCTGCATCATTCACATATAGTCTACATCCTTCACTCCATCGTAACCCCTGATCTCAATATCCTGCATCATTCACATATATTCTACATCCTTCACTCCATCGTCATCCCTGATCTCAATATCCTGCATCATTCACATATAGTCTACATCCGTCGATCCATCGTCACCCCTCACCTCAATAACCTGCATCATTCACATATAGTCTACATCCTTCACTCCATCGTCACCCCTCACCTCAATAACCTGCATCATTCACATATAGTCTACATCCTTCACTCCATCGTCATCCCTCACCTCAATAACCTGCATCATTCATATTTAGTCTACATCCTTCACTCCATCGTCACCCCTGATCTCAATAACCTGCATCATTCACATATAGTCTACATCCTTCACTCCATCGTCACCCCTCACCTCAATAACCTGCATCATTCACATATAGTCTACATCCTTCACTCCATCGTCATCCCTCACCTCAATAACCTGCATCATTCACATATAGTCTACATCCTTCACTCCATCGTCACCCCTGACCTCAATAACCTGCATCATTCACATATAGTCTACATCCTTCACTCCATCGTCACCCCTGATCTCAATATCCTGCATCATTCACATATAGTCTACATCCTTCACCATCGTCATCGTCACCTGCATCATTCACTCTACATCCTCTCAATATTCATCTATAGTCTACATCCTTCACTCCTCGTCACCCTCACCTCAATAACCTGCATCATTCACATATAGTCTACATCCTTCACTCCATCGTCACCCCTGATCTCAATAACCTGCATCATTCATATATAGTCTACATCCTTCACCCATCGTCACCCCCCTCACCTAATAACCTGCATCATTCATATATAGTCTACATCCTTCACTCCATCGTCACCCCTCACCTCAATAACCTGCATCATTCACATATAGTCTACATCCTTCACTCCATCGTCACCCCTGACCTCAATAACCTGCATCATTCACATATAGTCTACATCCTTCACTCCATCGTCACCCCTGACCTCAATAACCTGCATCATTCACATATAGTCTACATCCTTCACTCCATCGTCACCCCTGATCTCAATAACCTGCATCATTCACATATAGTCTACATCCTTCACTCCATCGTCACCCCTGATCTCAATAACCTGCATCATTCACATATAGTCTACATCCTTCACTCCATCGTCACCCCTGATCACCTCAATAACCTGCATCATTCACATATAGTCTACATCCTTCACTCCATCGTCACCCCTCACCTCAATAACCTGCATCATTCACATATAGTCTACATCCTTCACTCCATCGTCACTCCTCACCTCAATAACCTGCATCATTCACATATAGTCTACATCCTTCACTCCATCGTCACCTCTGACCTCAATAACCTGCATCATTCACATATAGTCTACATCCTTCACTCCATCGTCACCCCTGACCTCAATAACCTGCATCATTCACATATAGTCTACATCCTTCACTCCATCGTCACCCCTCACCTCAATAACCTGCATCATTCACATATAGTCTACATCCTTCACTCCATCGTCACCTCTGAGCTCAATAACCTGCATCATTCACATATAGTCTACATCCTTCACTCCATCGTCAACCCCTGATCTCAATATCCTGCATCATTCACATATAGTCTACATCCTTCACTCCATCGTCACCCCTCACCTCAATAACCTGCATCATTCACATATAGTCTACATCCGTCGATCCATCGTCACCCCTCACCTCAATAACCTGCATTATTCACATATAGTCTACATCCTTCACTCCATCGTCACCTCTCACCTCAATAACCTGCATTATTCACATATAGTCTACATCCTTCACTCCATCGTAATCCCTCACCCCAATAACCTGCATCATTCACATATAGTCTACATCCTTCACTCCATCGTCACCCCTCACCTCAATAACCTGCATCATTCACATATAGTCTACATCCTTCACTCCATCGTCACCCCTCACCTAAATAACCTGCATCATACATATATAGTCTACACCCTTCATTCCATTGTCACCCCTCACCTTAATAACCTGCATCATTCACATATAGTATACATCCTTCACTCCATCGTCACCCCACACCTCAATAACCTGCATCATTCACATATAGTCTTCATCTTTCATTCCATCGTGACCCCGACCCCAATAACCTGTACATTCACATATAGTCTACATCCTTCACTCCATCGCCACCCCTGACCTCGATAATCTGCATCATTCACATACAGTCTACATCCTTCACTCCATCGTCACCCCTGACCTCGATAATCTACGTTATTCACATTCATATCTCGTGTACCATAGAGAATTTGTGAATTCATGGAATACATCACCAAATATTAACATCTTAATGGCAATAAGAACTCTGTCGAAGACACATAAGCCTTTTTTATCTCCACGCAGTATCACAATTATCGTTTTCTGAAATGTAAGTGGAACGCATACTTTTAATTTTCAATACCCTCTGATAAGAATGAGCTGCATGTGCGACTAGCGGACTGTTTCACCAGCTGAATAGGTTGATACAACCCAAGTCAAAGGCCGATGAGTGTACACGGACATTCAGGTCGCAAACTCCTGCACATCCCCCATTGACACTTATTTATCATTGTATGCTCACAAACAAGAGAGGCGTATTTTCGGTCAGGTATGTGATAATTAGTTCCGCCCTAAGGCCTCAAGTGATTTTGGTTTCTTGAATGGGGTGAAATATGACGTGAACGCTGATGACGTCATCTGAAACGTTGTGACGTCTGGATGTCTGTACGAATTGGACAGTATCAACATGTTTGCGCTACTTGTGCGCATGCGTAAGATTTAAGGCATCACTTGCAGGACTTGCAATATAACGGACAGTACCTATGATACTCACTGTGAGCGCCTGTTTGTCGGTTGTCTTGGGAGGGGCTGTGTCCACCATGACCCCGTCTGACCTGAAGATGCTGTACGTCATCCCGTCGTACCAGCCTCTCACAAAGAAGGAATACTCGTGACGACTGCTGAGGTCCATGCCTTGGTTACAAACACCACAAATTGTGAGAATAGTTCGCCATAGTCAACACTCTTGTACACACATTCTTTCTTTCCCACTGCTTTTCAAATGATTACTACGATCAATACGATATAAGACACTGGATTATGGCATATGACAGAGCCACTGCCCACTTAGCGATCCTACCGCTTGTTGATTAATGTTGAGATGACATTATAGAGCTATATAATTTGTTGACTTGGTCTGATATATCATTCAATACCACTTGGCAGAGAGATGACCGCTGATGTTTGCCGCCCGACGCTGAACCACACTCTGCGGGAGTGAGTATCAAACACCCCCGTGGGGTAGTCGTTGTCGCTGTCTCCGAGACTGGCCTCGTACCTGCAGTCAACAACAGTGTCTGAGATACCTGGCACTTTATGTACAGCACGAGGATATAGTGACAGTCCTCAAAGCCACATCAACAGATATTTAGGAGATAAACGTACTGTGTTTGGAAATTAGAAGAATGTTAGGCCTCACGCGTTCGCCTTCAAATGAATCATCAATTCGGTTTAACATTCATCTAATTTCCAAACACAGTATGTTTATCTCCATTTTACCATAACCCACTGCGTAATCCGGCATGGGACGTCGACGAGAGGCGAATTGAACTCGTCTGTGAAGGGAGTGGTAGGTGCCGTTCGTATTTTTTAAGCATTGCCAAATTTTGTATAGATGGGGTGTATTTTTAAAAGGCTTTCTGATTTATAAATTAAAGATATTGTTTGTTTATGTTTGGGGTTGTGCATTGTAATTGAGGTTGAATATTTTCATAATACAAGCCGTAACAAGGTAATGTGATAGTGAGGTTCCCTAATAATTGTGAAGGGAAAATCATATAATTCTATTTTTAGGGTTTTATTAGAATTTCCATCACGTCTGATGTGTTGATATTAGCCATGTTGGTAGCCAAGCTGAAGTAGTGCGACAGTGTTGTGTACGTGCGCAGTGAAGCGGTCATGAAATCAGACGCATTTTCAATTTGGGATTGATGGTGTCTAATGTTTTTGATTGTCCAGTCAAATTCAAATTTCAGTTAGTCATGGTAGAATCTTTATCAAATCCTTACTGTGTAAAAGGCAACCCTTGTTGTTTCAATACCGTCCAACGGGCAGCCATGAAGGTGTCTGATGGCGAGTGGTCAATGTCTTGGGATGCCGTGAAGCGGAGGTCGGTGACATCGGTCACACCAAGAACGTCGTTTGACCCACCTGGGATATAAAGTGTTATATAACCGCCATGCGATAACTATCTCCTGTCATAACAGTACATCTACTGTAGACTGATAAGCCACATTCAGGAATTATGATGAAATAATCACGAGTAATGTAAGACAACATATCACCTTTGCTTTCAAAGCGAAAACATCTCCACTGCGTCTTTTCTTCAAGCAAAATATATTTTCCTTCAAATATGAGCCAGTAAACTTTGTTATAGAATTCCTCAACAGTTCAACATAAATTATCCTCGCTGTAACGACTTCCCATGTGACCTACCATTCTGGAGCTGTGTACATCCGCGTGTGTGCTGGCACGCCCCGTCCTGCACGGCACAGACACAGTGGCCCTCACAGTTGTACGACTGACACCGTCTCACCAGCTCCAGCTCACCCCCGGCGCCTAGTTCCAGTCCCAGGTGAAGCGCATCGCTCTGAAGGCCGACCTGGGTAGGTTCACATGGAACAAACGTTCAAACATAGAAACACAGTAACGAAAAAATGATGTGGATGGATCACATTGGGAACACCCGGTGTTCGACAAGAGGGTCACCATGTAACACCTACCCCGTTGACAGCCCAGATTGCCACAAACACAGACCGGGTGGAAGAGAGGTCCTTCGTGTGGACAACACCAGTCTGAACTCTGCCTTCGTCATCGTGCTCAATGCCAGACACATTGTGCTGTACAAGGACAGATGTGTTTCCCTGAAACAGACACAAGTACATATTTAAAGCTTTAGATCCTGTAGTGAGTTTTGGTTACTCTTGAGTACTATGTAATGGTGTTCAATCAACAACCTGAAACACAGGTTAACAAATCTTCGTGCTTCTATGCATCCACGTTGCGTTTTTTTGGTGTGTCCTGTTCCACTTGGTTTCTGTTTCTTCAATATCTACACAACAACGTCATAGCTGTCTTGAATAACCTGGTACTAATGCTTTGAAAATACGTAATGTTCAGTACATCATGAACGGGATTGTACCTCATTAAGGTCGGTTCCGAACTCAGCAGACCCCACTGTCATGATGTAGTGAGTTATTCCAGAATGTAGATCAGAGAAGCCAAGCCAGGCGAGGTTCAGACGAGTCTCGTTCCATGTCATCCAGCCTGACTGGTGTCGTGACAGCCAAGCTGCATGGTCGGTGTGTACGGCTAGCGCACCTGCATTACAATCATAAAACCGTGTTACTGAGAACAGTGTCGAAGATCCTTCAAGGATCATGTAGAAAGTGTTGTGTTACCTGTACTAGGATCATGTAGACAGTGTTGTGTTACAGTATTAGGTTGGTTCAGTATTGCCCCAAAAGGATTCGAGGAAAGATTCATGGATACTTCATTGTTTTGTGGCTGTCAATGATGCTGTGTTACCTGTCAAAGATTCTTGGATGCTGTATCGTGTTACCTGTCAAGGGTTTCGAGCTGTCCACCAGCATGGCTCCAGTATATGTGGAGTGACATAAGCCCGCCATGTTGCAGGCGACGAGCTTCACCGTGTAGCTGCTTCCGTCGTGGAGGTCCAGCTGGGACAACGTGTATTCTTCCAGAAGTCCCGGAAGCTGTACAAAACGTATGAGAGGAAAGGCTGTGGTTTGTCATAAATGCACTTTGTACAGGATATCGAATCCATTCTTAATGGAAACGATTTAATTCTATAATGTGCCTACATAGAGTTTAGATTTGTCATGATATCGGCAAAAAGTCTGACAAAGACAGTTCCATAGCTATGTAGATATGGGTGATATATTACATTAGTTTTGTATGCTCAATCGTGCTTCCTGAAACATTTAACGGGACCCTATGTGACAACTGACAGTCACCTTCATGAGATGTGACTGGAAATCCCCCAGTTGGTGAGATGAGATTGACAGGTACTGTCTCTCGATGTAAGATTCTTCGTCCTTGAACTTCCAGCCTATCCTCAAGGTGGTCCTGCTGATGGACGTCCCAGCCACAATGGATCCATATCCGTCCAGGATCCCTGGTGTCACCACAACTTCGGGTGGAGTGATGTCAATCACAAACCCGTTGGACGTGACTTCACTGTATAAACCTGTCACCAAAGTATCAAAACATGCATACACCTAACTGCAATTATGAATTACCTGATCTGTTCTTAGTTTGAGGTATTCTAAGTCACTAATTGGGAAAACAGAGGCTGTTGGACGACCCATGGCCTCCATCACTGAACAGTAAGAGATGTCTGCGAATGTTAACATGGTCAAAACTTTCGGTTATTGCTTAAAACTATATGTTCTAATTTTCTTGTGAAAAACAGGAAATCTTCCACTGCAACAGGTATTGGTTTTGGAAATCAAAACTACCGGGCAGGTTTGTTTTCTATCTGGATTCTAGTTCCTACTCAATGGCTCTTGCATTCAGCCTGATATGTAGTTCGTTACAAAACTTAAAGTGTGCATTCGTATTTTCAATATTTGGCTACCCATAGTCTCTAACACCGACATCCAATCATCAGAAATGCGAGACGAATCAGAGGACCCTGATGACACGATAAATGTACTTTGACTTTAGCTAGCATTGAACTCAACTGACATATGATATCGATGACGTGTTCCAGATCACCTGCTTTATTGTAAGCCCGCACTGTCGTGTACAGAGTCTGTCCCAACGGAAGCTGGTTGTCACGTGGCAGCGTCTGGAAGATGGCCTCTTCTAGGCCTGCGTTCGTTGGTTCGAGAATCTCGCCACCTCCTGGTGTTGTTCCTACGCGCCATTCATAGTGGTCTAGCCCAGACTCAGGGTCCTGGAAGCCCCGCCACTTACATCTAAGGAATGTCCTGAGGATATATACATACAACATACTGAACTATGTAACAGGGTAATAGGATGTTTAGATCGCCCAATTCTTTATTTTTCACTTTCACTTCAGGTTAAAACACAATAAAACAGTTAATTATTTTTAAAGCCTTTGTGAATTCTATTTTACAGATAAAAATCAGCTTATTGCTGCAAGATAGAGTAATAATACTATGGTCAATGAAATTGGCCTCGTGATCACCTGGAAGCCTGATATTGGACATCTTCGTCTCGGGTTCCGTCTATGATGTTCCCTGTTCGTGGAGCTGTCACATCTAAGATGACACCATCACTTGTCGCCATGGTGCACAGACCTGCCATGTTACACGCTGTCACCGTCACGTAATACGGCATGCCGTACTTGAAGGAAACGTCATAGAACCGCACGTCTGCAGCAAAGAGACGTACATGGCTTCATAAATATCAGTACAAATAGACACGCATATGTGTTCATAAATATGATTACAAATAGACATACATGTTAGAAGCTGTTTATACTCATAAATTTAAGTACGACATTTACGACGTTTGAATGTTCTTTCAAGTGAATGTGCTGAAATATTTGCTAAAAGCGGTCTAAAACCATATTCACTTACTACTACATAGGTAAGGCTTATGGTACATCATGAATGGCATCAAAGGAAGAGAATCGCTGTTACCTGTTCTTGCCCCTACGTGTGACTGAGCGAGCGTGTCGTCACATCCCCGACACTTTCCCACCTGGAGGAGATAGTGACTAATGGAAGAGTGGGGGTCGGAAAACCCCTCCCAGTAGGACCCCATCTCAGACATCACGGTGACAAAGTCAGCGTCCTTGATCTGGCCACTGACGGTGCTGCGTTGTCCATCATACACGTGGCCGCTAGAGGGCGGCGTGGTGTCTGCCGTCACAGGTCGTGAAGTTATCAAACTGTGCAGGCCTACCTTGTTGTATCCCTGAAACAAGATTGCAACATTGTGGTGTCATATCAGGCTCATACATGTTTCTTATTATAAGTACATGTATGGCTGTACTAGTCTTATTGGGGCGGTGGGTAAAATGGCTCGTTACGCCGAAGTCCCGCGTTCGATTACCCACATGGGTACAATGTGTGACGCCCATTTCTGGAGTCCCCCTCCGTGATATTGCTCAGTCACTCACTCATTAGTCTTGAAAGTAAGGCTTGTATGTTTATGCATTACCTTTACTGAAACGAAGTAGACATGTCCGTCTATTAGGGTTGCCCCGCCATTGTTTCACGCTACAGATACAGAATACATTGATTGATAGATTACCTTCACTGAAACAAAGTAGACATGTCCGTCTATTAGAGGTGCCCCGCCGTCGATAGCTATACACTGGTCAGATGTAGATGTGTACTTGACCACGTCATCATAGGCAGGTCTCGAAACAACCAGACCACAGACAGTCAATACATCAATAACTGAAGGCAACCTCACTGTCCATCTACAACAACCAGACCACAGACAGTCAATACATCCAGAACTGAAGGCAACCTCACTGTCCATCTACAACAACCAGACCACAGACAGTCAATACATCCAGAACTGAAGGCAACCTCACTGTCCATCTACAACAACCAGACCACAGACAGTCAATACATCCAGAACTGAAGGCAACCTCACTGTCCATCTACAACAACCAGACCACAGACAGTCAATACATCCAGAACTGAAGACAACCTCACTGTCCATCTACAACAACCAGACCACAGACAGCCAATACATCCAGAACAGAAGGCAACCTCACTGTCCATCTACAACAACCAGACCACAGACAGTCAATACATCCAGAACTGAAGGCAACCTCACTGTCCATCTACAACAACCAGACCACAGACAGTCAATACATCCAGAACTGAAGGCAACCTCACTGTCCATCTACAACAACCAGACCACAGACAGCCAATACATCCAGAACTGAAGGCAACCTCACTGTCCATCTACAACAACCAGACCACAGACAGTCAATACATCCAGAACTGAAGGCAACCTCACTGTCCATCTACAACAACCAGACCACAGACAGCCAATACATCCAGAACTGAAGACAACCTCACTGTCCATCTACAACAACCAGACCACAGACAGTCAATACATCCAGAACTGAAGGCAACCTCACTGTCCATCTACAACAACCAGACCACAGACAGTCAATACATCCAGAACTGAAGACAACCTCACTGTCCATCTGGAACAACAGACCAGACACAATACATCCAGACAATGTCAATAAAACAACCATAGCACGGACAGTCACATCCATCCAGACAGAAGGCAACCTCACTGTGGCTACAACAACCAGACCACTAGACATCTTTCCCAGAACAGCTGTAACTGGGACACTTACCACACATCTATCACAGACGTCGTCAAGTATTGTCCAGAGAAATGTATTGCACCCCCTGACGTCACCGGCGGCGTGGAGTCAATCAACATCCCCGACGATATGACGGTCTTGGTCTTGTTCACAAAGTCGGTGGCTGTAACAGAAGTAACAGAAGAAGCTAACGGTAACTAACAAAACAAGACAATATATAACCAGAAACGCAGTAACTCTGCAATGTCATTAATCAGTGCTGTACGTCAGTTGTACAGCGCACTGTACCAGTGATATATATGACAGATAAACACTAAACAGTACTAGCAATATAAAGTGTCAACTATATCTACTCTTCAAAAAAAGTAGGGGAATTTCGTTTTCATTTACGATTGAAAAAAATGGGAGATATATCGGAGTCAATCAATGTTGATGTGATAATAATGAATGTTTTGAGGGTGCACCATCACTTGCACGTCCTTATGACCATAGTTGTTTGTGCAGTAATCGTTCTTGAAAGATGAATGGTGTATGGCGTGACATTTGCATATGTACGATTTTCATTCATTAGTGTCTGTTCCTCCAAGCACCAAACACTAACAACTGTGTGATGAAAGATGATGGTCAGAATGCCCCCCCATGCACGCGTATTTGGCTACAGCGTTGAGCATGTGCTTCCCATGCGTTGTGTTTAGGGATGGTGATCAAGAGAAATGGTGATCCGTTTATAGGATGTTTGTCTTTGAAAAAGATTCTTAACCTCATACTTCCTATCCAAATTGAAAGGTCTTTTTAAGAGTATACATAGAGAGAGAGACTTCCACCACCAGTCAATACAATGTCAGCCCTGTAACCACCCATCTATACTATGTGAGAGGATGGGAAGACGCATTGCACGTGCACCTGTCACGGACGCGTAGATGGTGTGCCCGTCGTGCAGCTGGAGGCCGTTCAGGATGACGTGGTTGACCAAACCCTGTCTCCGTGCTGCCGCCACATCCTCCCCTCCAGGATGAGAACCTACGAAACAGCAATCAGCGTTGTTTCACCAACATCTCGTCACCTCGATAACATGTTATGTTTCATAGAACACTGCATATTATTTCAGCTTTATAACGTTTTCCTGTACAATATCGAATCTCGATCATATCATCCAGTGACTGATGAGAAAACATGGTTACTCAGCCTGACTACTCGATCTATGAGGTGCCCTTACAGTCAGCATAATCTGCTGCATCTATTTGGTCACTCCTCAAGAACAGCATAATGTGTTCGATCTATCAGGTCGCCCCTTACGATCATCCTATACATGTACTTCTTGATGGCTGCTAAGATCCATGCTCAGACATAATGAAAGCGTACCTAGAGCAACTTCATAATATGCTATCCCACTGGGGTGTGGAGACGACCCTTCCTCTTCTACGTCAAGGAAGCCGTCCCAGAAGACCTCGATCTCACTGGTGCTGATCTGAATAAACACACATGTACAACACAGTTACACCAACAAAACACTATATGCTAGAGGAATCGGGCAGATGACAATAAAGCTGGGGTTCACTCACTGAAGCCATGTAAGGTCAGGTGACTTCAGAACTTATAATTTCATTATTGAGAAAACTACCCTTGAACAAATTATAACTACCCTTATGGAAATGGCACGAACGTAAGTGAGAAAAATTCAGTTAAAGATCATGTTTTCACATATCTCTGAATCAATTCATTTCATGTACGATGCATGAGAATTGTGCCGGTGTCCTAACTTGCTAAATGTATGGAAGTCGCAATAGCTTCTCGTGTTGAGAAAGACTGTTTAAGATGTTGTCATGAATAGTAAAACAATGTTAATACTGGGGTGACAATTTCACCTGGAACGCGGGGCTGTTGAGGCCGCCAAGAAACACCCTTCCTCCGCTAGGTGGCGTCACGTCCACCGTGACCCCGTCACTACACGAGCTGACCTCTGGTAAGTCCTCTGTCCACTTCTCGTACTCCACGACTCTCGCCTCGGCATGAACACACACATAGTACATCCTCCCGTGAACAAGCCAGAGTTCTGCCTCGACCACGTTAAGAAATTCCTTGTCTGAAACACCAAGTATCAAATATTCATGATGAGGTAGATTTTTTTAAACACGCATTTCTGTTAAACGCACATTCTCTCTTAAGTGATATGAAGTATAAAAAGACTTTGGCATTTGTGATGCATTTTGTTGGTGTTTTCATCTTTAAATATATCTAATCTATATAAAAAACAAACTAAGACTTCATGTGGCATGGAGTAATGGTCTGCTACTTCTAGGTTTAGATGCTTGATTGGCATATTTGATTAATATGTATTAATAAAAAGAAGATGTAACCCAGAAAAAGCTCTATGTTCATACTTTTAGTTTTGTTAATCAGCTACCTGTGTGGCCGCACTTGATGACATCCGGCATGCTACAGGGGTCTGTGAAGGTCATCAGACTGTCCTTCTTGTAGTGAGATGAGGGGTCCAGCTGGTCACCTGACACCACTGCCCACGTGTAGTTCCTGTGACGGAGTGTGGGCCACACAGCAGACAGGACGTTCCTGTAGGGGGTGTAGTCAGCATCAGCTGTGTCCCACCCGCCATTCTGGTCCAGAGAGACGGGGGACCCGACATCATCAACCTGTCGGGCGCCTGTCAGCAGGATGACAAGTACATGACACAGGTCAAATATTCACCTACAATGTTCCTGGAACGTATAGTTCAAATCATAATAGGGAATTGCATCAAACATCATTGTTTCACTGATTTGTCAACGTCCTCCCCATATCTACCATCAAAATGTTTGAAAGCCTAACTGGGGAATTGAATGTTGTGACCTTGATCGAGTCATTCCTGAGCAAGAGTCGTATGACGCAATTTGAACTGAAAAAACCGTCCCGCTCTGCACACAGCCAAGACAGTAAATATTCCTCCTTCCAGGAAGCGCTGAGAAGTCGAACTCACTACTGCTATTATTTAAAGATCTTGGCACAGTAACACTTGTTAGGCTCATCATCAGCTCAGGCCCTTTGTCTCATATACACGCATCCCAGACAACCAATGGGAATTGTCCCAGTCAGGAAACGCTGCCTTGTCGAACCCACCGATAACCTTTCAGACAATGTGAAGACTCCCCGCACTGCAGCCTTCTATATTACCCACCATGTCAGAGTGAGTGAGTGAGTGAGTTTGGTTTTACGCCACTTTTAGCAATATTCCAGCAATATCACGGCGGGGGACACCAGAATGAGCTTCACACATTGAACCCATGTGGGGAATCGAACCCGGGTCTTCGGCGTTACGACCCCACCAACAACCTTTCAGACAGTGTGAAGACTCCCAAGCACTGCAGCCTTCTATATTACCCACCATGTGAGAAAGGTTGTGATCCTGGCAAACTCCGTAATTCTCCAAATGTCAGTGAACAGACAGGGAAGTACCTAACCTAAGGCTTATTATCATTATTACTCTCCATCCATACGTCGCATGCTCACAGCTCGGTGGCCTCTGGAAGTCTAAAACACATCGTCCTAGGAAATTCTGGTAGTGATACTAATCATGCTCTGAGAATGTATTCCTCACCAACAACATCGATAACAATCGAGGGAACTACGACAGCAGGGTCGTATGCAGCACAGTCTCTCATGTCGGCGGATACGGTGGTGGAGAGCCCCACCTTGTTGTAGCCTCGAACAGCAAGACGTCGGCACTTGCTGAAGTCCAGGTGTTTGGGCAGATGCACGTGGAATGTCATCTGGAATATAGGTTGTGTGGGTTTTCAACAGCCTGTCACTGTTGTGATTTGTCTGTAATGCTATTAAGATTGAATGTTGCCTCGTCGGAACCCGGAACAGTGAGTGAGTTGGGTTTTACGCCGCTTTTAGCAATATTCCAGCAATATCAAGGCGGGGCACACAAGAAATGGGCTTCACACATTGCACCCATGTGGGGAATCGAACCCGGGCCTTTGGCGTCACGTTCGAACGCTTTAACCACTAGGCTACCCCACCGCCCAAATCAACGTTAGAGAACAAGTCTGGATTATTCGAAATAGCCAATAGCGTTGAACATTAAATGAAATGAAACACTGACCATCAGTGATGACACAAAATACCCCCGCCACACAGGAGAACTGTCATGCAACGTGGATCCTTAAGAACCCAGACAATCAGGCGATGGACAATACGTCCAGAGTAGAGATAGCCCATTACTGAAAACTACAGATGATATGTCCACTTCACAGCTTGTGTCAAGATGCACCAGGAGGTCAGGCTCGGTGATGTCGCTCAGATCCCCTTCACAGAGTTTAACACTGCTGCGATGTACAACAGCATTCACTTTCCTCAACATACCACATCCCCAATGGCTGTGCTGTCTGCCACAGGCTGCCACGTTGTCAGAAGTCTGCTGTCGTGGTCACCGTCTGTTAAACTCCACTCATATCTGTCCACAACGCTGTATGCTTCGTGTTTCACTGGTATGTCAGGGTCAGCAAATCTGGTCATGGTCACCTCAAACTGGAACACCAGCAGGGTAAAGGTCAATTATCGTGCTCTGAAAATACGCATAGAAATATATTTCATGGGCATTCGTTGTGTTCGTGCACAACATTATTCTGTTGACAAACCATGTCATGGACTTCTCTTACATGACACACCTCTCAACACCATAATTAGAATTTGTAAATTAGAAAAAAAATAATCTTCGAACAGTGTGACTTCAGAGTCGAGTCAATGTGTTCAAGAAAATACAGTTCCGTCACTACGCCATTATTTCAGGTCATTGCGTAACCAAACATGTTTGAGGATACACTTTTCGAGAAATCACATAACAACTTCAATCATTACAAAATACCAGGCGGTTGTGTACAACGTCAGCAGAGGAATACATGATATGGCTTCTCATCACCTTGGAGCCTGTGTTGGTCTCGGTGTAGTTAACGTTCATGTCTCCGCTAACAGGTGGATGGTGTAGGACTGTAACTCCGTCACTGTACACGGCTTCAGTGCAGACATCCACGGCACACAGCTTCACAGCCGCCCTGAACTTGTACCCCGACTGAAGATTCAGGTCCGTGGACAGAATGTGGTGGCGGTGTCCAGTGTACCCATAATCCCTCTCTGTATGCCACAGGTCATCTGGATGTAAAACAGGCCGTGTGGGGAGGAGCATGACAACACAGCGTGCATGGCTACATTCTGAGCATGACAACATATATGAATGAGCAACGAGCAAATGATGAGGTCACAAATACTTATTTTGCATCTAAAACCATTTTCCTGACGTGGGGTCAAGATGAAAAAATATAACGCATGCAAAATAATGCAAAATATAACCAAACTAAATACGTCTGTAAACAACCAATTAGCATGACCTCCTTTATGCAGGTATGTGAAATCAGTTTCTTAATTAGCCAATGAAATGCCATGCAGTGTATTACTATTTTCGATAGGAAACAGAATTATGGTGTGGTCTCCAGTACCTGATAATGCAAACTTCTTTTCCAGCTTCCACTTGACATCCGGGTACTGGTGTGTGTATTGCTGTGTGACGTTCCAGTGGGCGGTGAACATGGTGGTTGACAGCTGATACTGCTGGTCCTCGTGACAGACATGCATAGCAGACTGAAACATGAAACATTAGTATATATATACCATCATATACCAGATCCTCATGACAGCCATACACGGCAGACTGAAACATCAAACAAGGGGATGTACCACCATATACCACATCATCTTGACAGTCATACACTGCAGACTGAAACATCAAAAAAGGGGATATACAACCATATACCACATCATTTTGACAGCCATACATGGCAGACTGAAACCTTAAACAAGGGGATATACAACCATATACCACATCATCTTGACAGTCATACACTGCAGACTGCAACATGAAACAAGGGGATATACAACCATATACCACATCATTTTGACAGCCATACATGGCAGTCTGAAATCTTAAACAAGGGAATATACAACCATATACCACATCATCTTAACAGTCATACACTGCAGACTGAAACATCAAACAAGGGGATATACAACCATTTACCACATCATTTAGACAGCCATACATGGCAGACTGAAACCTTAAACAAGGGGATATACAACCATATACCACATCATCTTGACAGTCATACACTGCAGACTGCAACATGAAACAAGGGGATATACAACCATATACCACATCATTTTGACAGCCATACATGGCAGACTGAAACCTTAAACAAGGGAATATACAACCATATACCACATCATCTTGACAGCCATACACGGCAGACTGAAACGTGAGACAAGGGGATGTACCACCATATACCACATCATTTTGACAGCCATACATGGCAGACTGAAACGTGAAACAAGGGGATGTACCACCATATACCACATCATTTTGACAGCCATACATGGCAGACTGAAACGTGAAACAAGGGGATGTACCACCATATACCACATCATCTTGACAGCCATACACGGCAGACTGAAACATGAAACAAGGGGATATACAACTATATACAAAATCATCTTGACAGCCATACATGGCAGACTGAAACATCAAACAAGGGGATATACAACCATATACCACATCATCTTGACAACCATACATGGCAGACTGCAACATGAAACAAGGGGATATACAACCATATACCACATCATCTTTACAGCCATACATGGCAGACTGAAACATGATACAAGGGGATATACAACCATATACCACATCATTTTGACAGCCATACATGGCAGACTGAAACGTGAAATAAGGGGATATACAACCATATACCACATCATCTTGACAGCCATACACTGCAGACTGAAACATGAAACAAGGGGATATACAACCATATACCACATCATCTTGACAATCATACATGGCAGACTGAAACATGAAACAAGGGGATATACAACCATATACCACACCATCTTGACAATCATACAAGGCAGACTGAAACATGAAACAAGGGGATATACAACCATGTACCACATCATCTTGACAGCCATACATGGCAGACTGCAACATGAAACAAGGGGATATACAACCATATACCACATCATCTTGACAGCCATATTTTCGAGATGCCTATGCTTCAGATGAAAAGAGCATCGTAAACCTACTCAAAAAGGTCGTGTAATATTGATTACTTATGAGACTGTTGCTGTTTCACTCACCGTGTTGTGATGTGTAGGATTCCAGCCCTGTGTTCCTGCAACATTTAAACATGAAAGAAGGTCAGTTGCCATACAGACAAACAGAATATGTGCCTCTGGTGAGGGACAATGGCAGCAAAGGAAGCGATCGTAAAATATTAGGTTTTCCTTGTGGCAGATTAAGCGGTCTCCTGAAAGAGTACTTGAGAGTTATCCACCTGTTTGTATCACTGAACGCCAGAATCATTAGCCTGACATGACTTACTTCCTGTGTGTGTCAAGTGTAGGACGCAGAAATATCCAGTGTGAAATATCAGAAAAAAACGATCTTCTGTCAACTTGCAGCACGGAATAAAGAACGAAGCACTGGCTTGACTGTGGACAGTCGTCGTAAGAACTATAGCATTTGTTTTCTAGACCTGTTTCTTGCTGCTACGTATTTTATCCATCGCATTGTCGTTTGTGAATGTAAACTGAAACTGTGTCTCTCAATATAATTAGTATTATTATTCGTAATACTTGTGTGGTTCATGATTTCACAACATATTTCTGGCAAAACCGACGTTTTAATCAAGAATTATTTATCTTAAACATCACTCAGACAGTACCTTGAAATGAATTACATCCCAGGCCATCATATATCTTCAACTCAGAGATGTCAGCATTGTTGACAATAATGTTCACACCGTCAGAAGATTGGATCACCTCTCCAGCTGGCGACTTGGCCACTACTGTGGTGTAATATTTCTATAAAGACATCCAGGCAATGTCAGTAACAATTATGTATCCGGACAAGTCATGACGTTACTATTATTGGCTGTGGTATAGCTTGTGTCGTCAGTAATATAGATCACGTGAGTTGTTTGTTGACTCTTTACCACACATAAGGTTAATGTACTTGTGCACAGTTTCACTCACCTGGGTGGTGTTCAGCAGTAGATTCCGGAACTGATGCTGGGTGGAGTACCCGGTGTCTTCATAGCCTCTGACGTCAACCATCCCGTGCGCGGTGCCGATCCCTGCCTTGTAGGTCACGTTCAAGATGTCGTCATCAAACCCATACCACCTGGCCTTCAGCCCTATTGTAGACAGTTGACAGTCCGAGTCTCGCAGTTCCTGCAATGCTCAGACATTGTCACAGTCGTCGTGCAAATTATGGGGAGGTTAGATGTCAGCCCGTCACGATAAAATCCCGGGTTCGATTCCCAAGGTGGATGCAATGTGTAAACCCTTTCCTTGTGTTCTGTGCCGGGATATTGCTGGAACATTCCTGAGGGCGATGTACTCACTAACTCATACAAATTCAATTAATTTTAATCAAAGTTTAAGAGGTCGTCTTTTACGTAGAAGCAACGAGATATTGACCGTGCATTCTTTCCATGCATTCTGCTTTGAAAATACAATTTAGGAATGTCTGAAACAAGTGATTCGATCGTCGATTGTTCGATTTCGACTGTATCCTGAGCTGGTGTTTATGCGTAAAAGAAAATATGTCATGAAAGAGTCCATTTTCTCTATTGAAGAACAATCCAAAAACAATGACATTATGTCCACTGACCGTTATCTGAAATAATTCCTCTTCATCTTCGGGGCAGATATCCATGACAACACCACGTGAGGGCAGTCTGACGTCATGGACGTAGGGCTCTGCTACCACCACTGTGGATAGCCCAACTATGTTGGTGACCCTCACTGATACGTAGTAGGCGTGGCTGTGGTGGAGGTCCCAGAGAAGGTCGGTGACAGCTATTGCCGTACATGTTGGTGGATACGTCACTGAGCACCCTGTTCCTGAACGTAGGTCATTGAAGGGCAACACCTCAGTTCCATACGGCGAGGTGCCTATGAAGAGTAGAGAAACTATCTAAGTTATGCATATGGATTCCGGGTAAGAATGTATCTAAAAAAGTCATCTGTGGTCCTAGGTGGTGATTAAATGGTGGCCAGGTTCAGTAACGTAGTTGATTGTCATCGTATCCTGAAGGCGTGATTCGGTGCTCATAATGCCGATCACTTAATATTCAGATTCGAACAGCTACAGATCCCTGTGATATAGCTTGGATAGAGCTGTGTGCAGTGTTAAACAAAGTTGATATGACCTTCCGTGGTCTACTCGGACAGAACGAAATATTTATATTTACATATAGTTCAAGCATTAATAGGAACATTTATCGACCTAAACAAAGACTCCCACTTCTTACCAACAGCAGCTGCATATTTAAGGTGTGCAACACCGGCGTCGGTGATGTGGGAGTTGTTCCACATCACCAGGAGATGGCTCTGAATGGACGTCAGTGTAGCACTGACTCCCCCGTTGAAGACGGGCTTCCGGGTGTGGACGAGGAGAGGTCCTAGAACCTGAACAAACCAAGGGTTGGTGGCTGTAAACATGGGTGAAAGGATAGGAGCGGTGTCAGGGAGTGTGTAATATGGCTACATAGGTTATATCCACCCATTGATCGTTCAACGAAACTGACAAAGGAACAGAGAAGACAATGAAGGAACCTGTTGTATTTCTGGGGCGTAACAGTCAGCTGAAGACGTCAGCCAACTGAAAAATCGGGTGCTTAGGACATGTGTCCTTGGTCATTGTGCGGAAACAAGATGGCAGGAATCCAAGATGGCAGCTGGGATCCAAGATGACAGGGATCGGTGGTCGTGTTTTCAGTTTCATGTTTGTCTCTTCCAATCTGAATACTAACAGATGACCAATGTCACTCAATCAATGAATCAGTGAAAGAGTGTCACTTTACCTGAATGGTTGTGAGTCCAGCTTTGTTGATGGCCTTGATGGCGATGTAGAACTGTTGCCCCTCACTGAGAGGAGGATGGTAGCCCTGATACTGAGGATGATGATGAGTGGACGAGAAGGGCAGGATGTCTGGAGCTGCTTCACCAGAAGGATCTGACATCAGCCCCAGCTCGTAGTCATGTATACCACTCTCCGTGTCAATTCCAGTCCAGTTAACAAACAGCTGACAAGAGCAAAATGTTATTGATAACCACCACACACCGAATCCTGATCTTAGTCTCAGTCAAGTTATGATGATCATATATGTTTGTCTCAGTCAAGTTATGATGATGTTATACGTGAGTCTAAATCAAGTTATCAGGATCTTATACGTTAGTCTCATTCAAGGTATCATGATCTTATACGTTAGTCTCAGGCAAATTATGATGATTTTATGACTACATTTTACAACATATTTTCTAGGATATGAAAACTAAATGTTTAAAAATCCTAAAACATCAAGGGCAAGAATATTGGGGAGTAATAATTTACTCTTTAACTTACGTACACAATACAACCTTCAGCATTTTACACCAAGAACAGTCAAATTAGTCCAGCAGCGACAAGTATAAAGCATTATATAGTAGGAATATTAGTATGTCTCGTACGTGATGTTCTGTAGAAATGTATATCGTGTAGTCACTTGACAACGATTCAGACTGTATGCAAAACGTTGCATCTTGTATAATCATCGTTTCGTTTCGCATCAAATGGATGGGGAACTTCTCCAACTCTCCTGCACCGATTGCTCTCCCTTTGGATCTGAAAGATTCATCAAGATATACCATGGAAATGGCAAAGATTCCTCGGGAAAGTCCTCCAGTGTAAACACAAAACTGTTTTTGAAAACAGGTGATATATGAATATTTAGAGAACAATCAATTACTTAGGTAATCGTGTCGGTGAAGTCATCCGTGATCTGAAACACAAGAGAATCCCCCAACCCCCACCCCGAGCATTTAGCTTCATTTGCATGCAACAAAGGTGTGTGTGTTATTGAGGTGAGCTGCACTAAACAACAATAGTAACGCGTTGACAGCACAATATTTACTTGTTAACATCATTGTATTTCATGTATAGATGTAGCCCTGGAATGTGTAACGCCGATATTGAAGAAACCACACCGTTACTCAGCATAGAAGGTGGATATCGTTTGTGTCTGGTGCTTTGTTTCTCTTAAAGCTTGTGCACTGACGTAAATAGGTGTGTAAGGTGTCACCTGCATTGGGTATCTGGTTCAGTAATCTGGCTTCTCCTGCGTTGATTGTCGATGTACCAGACCGTCCCTACAGAGGTAGTAACCAGACCAGGGACAATGTTACAGGAGGCTACAGCAATCTGTCCTACTGCTGGGGGTGTGACGTCAACTGTCACCCCGTCAGAACACACAGGGTCTGACACCTCCAGGGCCCGGTTGTAGGCCACCACAGTCACGTGGTACTTCCCTGGGGTGGGAGCCGACCATGCTGCACGTGTCGAGTAGGTTTCCGTCACCTGGTGGGAATGTAACTGGTGTAAATATGAACGGGGAATGTACCCTATGTAAATATAAGTGCAATCACAGACAAATCTCACCTGAATGTAGTCTCTATTCCGGCACATGTAATGAGCTTTTTGGGGGACTTAACACCATCATGTCAGCAGGATGGCAACTTCATGACACTCATGGCGCTGTGTTGGGTGGGAGGGTGTTTGGAAAATAGCACATCCCTTTTACGTCCATAAAAGTATCTCTGCCAAGAGTCGACAGTACGGTTTCGACTGGATCAGAGTGTGCTTTTGAATCACTATCAAATAATGATGACACCAGGTGTTCACGTACCCTGCCCCACTGGTGGCAAAGGCATAAACAAATGAAAGTCTTACACATGTCAACAATGGAACCTTTTGAAAGCTTTAGTTACTAAGGCCGTGAATATCATAAGCTTTAACAAAGAACTTCGGAACAGTATCACATACCGTTCCTTCTGGACACAGAGGGAATGCTCAGTTGTACCTCTAAAGGTGTGAAATGTCAAGACACGACGGGATATTGCTTGGCAAGGAGGAAGTTGGCTATTAGAAGGTGGAAAGCATCCTTCTTGTCATGCGGCTTTGTGGACCGCTTTCTGTCACTCGGAATTTTTATGTATTGATTTAAATATGAACTACGCGCAGTGTTCTCACTGATCACCTGTATTTCAAGTTCAGGTTACATCGGTGGATGGGTATTGGCTACTTGAATGTTATTAAAGGACAAAAGTTCATCGATAACCCTGAAGCTTATGTTTAACTTCTCGACAAATGACCTTGTTTTGAATTTGCCAATCCAAGAAGAACGCCTGACTCATAAGCATAAAGAAACATATCTGCAAGTATAGGAGTACAGATGGTCTACTTCCTGTTTAAATGTTTTACACCGAGTAATTTTTATCAATGAGGAAGTCCAGCATTTCTCAGTAAACTCTGGATGACATTTGCTTTAATTCTTTACATATTGTCCTGAAGGTCTGAAGAGAGACATGTGCCTGTATCTATGTTCATCATATTGCAAATACCCCATGGATCAAGGGATGACATGTTTCCTTAATTGTTCAAGTGGGATAGTTGTGTATCAAGTTAAATAAACTCAATCCGTTTCTGAAATTATAAACATTCAGGGAACCTTTTCAGATTTAGTGAATACCTCATATGACTATAGAGGAATCGTTCCTTGACAGTATTAAGTTTGAGGCAGGGATTTCGCCTCATGTGACTATAGAGAAATCGTTCCTTGACAGTATTAAGTTTGAGGCAGGGGTTTTGCCTCATGTGACTATAGAGAAATCGTTCCTGGACAGTATTAAGTTTGAGGCAGGGATTTCGCCTCATGTGACTATAAAGAAATCGTTCCTTGACAGCATTAAGTTGAGGCATGGATTTCGTGGTACATTTGCTGGAACCAGCAATATATCTCTCTTTGTTCGGATGTTTATGCAGCTTTGCAATTCAGTACAAAGAGGAAAGGGCATGTCAACATGTTTTGATAACGCCATCGTGTCCACAACAGGAAATTTGATAAACGTTCATAGGCAAGAAGGCAAACACGTACATTAAATACACTCGTATCCAGACCAAAATGCTCCTTTTGTAGACACGTGTCCGCGAACTGATACTGGTAGAACTTGACACCACTCTCCCTGTCAAAGAATCCGTCCCAGTGAGCGTGGAGCTGTAGACTGTCCTGGTGGTCTACTTCCGGATGTCCAGGCTGACCATCATGGACAACTCCAGGGTGTGGTGCACTCGCGTCTACAGTCACCTAGAGGAGCAGTAACATCATAGACGGTGTCACCTGCTGGTGTAGTAACATCATAGATTGTGATACATAGTTATGTGGCAACATCATAGAATGTGTCTCCTGTATAACATCATAGACTGTGTCACCTAGAGGTGTAGTAACATCAAGTTGAGCAACAACACGGTGTATTAAATTCGGATGCATATATTTATGCTTTCAAACCAATGTCGACAGAGAGGAATCAACCTGACCTTGATGGCAAGTGATGTGTTTAGTTTGGCGTGGTTCATCACTGTAATCTCTATGAAGTAGTCGGAGTCATGAACACCCTTGTGCAGGTCGTGGAACACGCCGCCATGACTGAGATTAGACAAGATTATGCGTGGTTTGATCTGAAAGTGTCTGTGATAACATCCTGTTCCTGGTGTACAGTAGCAGTTGGCGCCTCGTGGATAGTCGCCGTACCTCGCTGTACAGTTGGCCAGGTTCTGGGAGCAGGTAAACACAACTGTACAAACACCTAAGTAATCGTGTCCTGTTTACAGTGAACAAAAAAGATTTAAACTCCTTAGACGAAGAATGCATATTCATGAAGATTATTAGATCGAAGGAACATACTGAAGAAAGAAATCACAGGAACATGCTGACAAAGGAGAGATCTCAGGAACATAATGACTGTACAGTTGGCCAGGTTCTTGGAACAGGTAACCACAACTGGATAAACACTTAGCAAATCGTGTCCTGTTTACAGTAAACAGCACAAATTAATCTCTTTAAGACAAAGAAAGCACGTGCATGAAAATTAACAGACCAAAGCAACATGGCGACGAATGAGGACATTTACTTTTGTGTCGCCTTGAGCCGAAATATGGTCTTCTCCATGGTAGATGTTGGAGCCGGTAAAGTTGTCGTAGATTCTCCACGAGACAATCTCTAGACCACTGTGGTCGTCAAATGCTAGCCACTCAAATCTTAAATATAAGACGATAGTCGATTTATTGAGTGACTTCAACGCATATGCCAGTAATGTCATGATGTGTCAGTTTTAGGTAGGAGGAAAACCCGGAGTAAGGTAAAACCCACCGGTATCAACATGGCACCAACAAAACCTATATTTGAATTGGAATTAGAGGACATGGTCATGTGGAACGGAACCATTGAAAAGAGGGAACTATCCGTTGCCATTGTTTTATGCGGAAGGTTTTGTTTACTCAAGTAAAATACAGAAGGAGAACCTACGTCATTTCATTGAATTCCTCTACTCTGTGAACGGTGATGTTGAGTCGGTCTCCCCTTGTGAGCCACAGGTTCTCTATGACTGGAGGGGACGTGTCCACGTGGACAGTCACACTCTCCTCAAGGAGTTCACGTCTGACGTCGTACGCCCTGACCCAGAACCTCACGGTGTCTCCGTCTACAAGAACAGGTGCGACCGTCTGGTGCTGCATCAGACCCTGGCTCTGGAACTCGGCGTCAGGAGGGGGAGAGGGGATGCTACTGCCCCCACTGTGGTCAGTCAGGAAGGCGGTGCAGTATTCAACTATGGCTGAAATATGGAAACCATGTCTCTCACTGAGGAGTGGGGAGCTTATTTGTGACCAAAAACTAGCTCCTGGACAGAACCATAATGTCGGACAACAAATCATCATGTATATTCCAGAAGGGAGGAATTGCGTATTCGGTCAAAAAACATTTTGCAGATCAAGCTCAAAAACAAATTAATGTGTGTGACATATTTCACTAGTTGAGATCGAAAATGTAAACAATTCTTGGGGAATCTCCAGTGGATGGACTAAACATACCTACAAAACAGCTGATGCATGAAGAGCTGAGTTCCATTAGAATGAAGCGACATCTTATCACAGAATTAATGTTGACTTAGTTACATACATCATTGGTCACTGACTGTCATAGTGACGAACGTCATTGGTCACTGACTGACATACTGACACACGTCATTGGTCACTGACTGCCATAGTGGCATACGTCATTGGTCTCTGACTGTCATAGGGACATACGTCATTGGTCACTGACTGACATACTGACATACGCCTGATTGGTCATCGTCACTGTCATAGGGACATACGTCATTGGTCACTGACTGTCATAGTGACATACGTCGTCATTGTCATAGTGACACGTCATTGGTCACTGACTGACATACTGACATACGTCATTGGTCACTGTCATAGTGACATACGTCATTGGTCACTGACTGTCATAGGGACATACGTCATTGGTCACTGACTGACATACTGACATACGTCATTGGTCTCTGACTGTCATAGGGACATACGTCATTGGTCACTGACTGTCATAGTGACATACGTCATTGGTCACTGACTGACATACTGACATACGTCATTGGTCACTGACTGTCATAGTGACATACGTCATTGGTCACTGACTGACATACTGACATACGTCATTGGTCACTGACTGACACACTGACATACGTCATTGGTCTCTGACTGTCATAGGGACATACGTCATTGGTCACTGACTGACATACTGACATACACGTCATTGGTCACTGACTGACATAGTGACATACGTCATTGGTCACTGACTGTCATAGTGACATACGTCATTGGTCACTGACTGACATACTGCCATACGTCATTGGTCACTGACTGACATACTGACATACGTCATTGGCCACTGACTGACATACTGACATACGTCATTGGTCTCTGACTGTCATAGGGACATACGTCATTGGTCACTGACTGACATAGTGACATACGTCATTGGTCACTGACTGACATACTGACATACGTCATTGGTCACTGACTGTCATAGGGACATACGTCATTGGTCACTGACATACTGTCGACCGTCATACTGACTGACATACGTTCATTGGTCACTGACTGTCATAGGGACATACGTCATTGGTCACTGACTGACATACTGACATACGTCATTGGTCACTGACTGTCATAGTGACATAAGTCATTGGTCACTGACTGACATACTGACATACGCCATTGGTCGCTGACTGTCATAGTGACATACGTCATTGGTCACTGACTGTCATAGTCATAGTAACATACGTCATTGGTCACTTCATGTCAGAGTGACATACGTCATTGGTCACTGACTTCATAGTGACATACGTCATTCGTCACTACATGTCACAGTAACATACGTCATTGGTCACCACGTGTCATAGTGACGAACGTAATTGGTCACTGACTGTCATGGTGACATACCTTATTGGTCACTGACAGTGGTAGTGACATACTCCGCTGGTCACCGACTGTCCGTCATAGTGACATACGTCACTGGTCACCGACTGTTCATCATAGTGACGTACGCCATTGGTCACCGACCGTCCGTCATAGTGGCATACGTCATTGGTCATCGACTGTCATGGCGACGTACGTCATTGATCACTGACAACCATGGTGACATACGTCATTGGTCGCTGACTGTCATAGTTAAATACGTCTTTGATCACCAACTGTCATAGTGACATAAGCCATTGGTCACCGACTGTCCGTTATGGTGATATACGCCATTGGTCATTGGCTGTCACAGTGGCATACGTCATTGATCACCAACTGTCCCAGTGACATACGTCATTGGTCACCGACTGTCATAGTGACATACGCCATTGGTCACCGACTGTCATAGTGGCATACGCCATTGGTCACCGACTGTCATAGTGACATACGTCATTGGTCACTGACTGTCATAGTGACATACGTGATTGGTCACCGACTGTCCATTATAGTGACGTACGTCATTGGTCACTGACTGTCATAGTGATGTAAATGATTGGTCACCGATTGTCATCGTGACGTACGCCATTGGCCACCGACTGTAACAGTGACATATGTCATTGGTCACCGACTGTCATAGTGACATACGTCATTGGTCTCTGACTGTCATAGGGACATACGTCATTGGTCACTTACTGACATACTGACATACGTCATTGGTCACTGACTGTCATAGTGACATACTTCATTGGTCACTGACTGACATACTGACATACGCCATTGGTCGCTGACTGTCATAGTGACATACGTCATTGGTCACGGACTGACATACTGACTTACGCCATTGGTCACTGACTGACATACTGACATACGTCATTGGTCACTGACTGTCATAGTGACATACGTCATTGGTCACTGACTGACATACGTCATTGGTCTCTGACTGTCATAGGGACATACGTCATTGGTCTCTGACTGTTATGGGGACATACGTCTTTGGTAACTGACTGCCATAGTGGCACACGTCATTGGTCTCTGACTGTCAAAGTGACATACGTCATTGGTCACCGACTGTCATAGTGACAAACGTCATTGGTGACTGACTGCAAAAGTCACATACGTCATTGGTCGGTGGCTGTCATAGTGACATACGTCGTTGGTAGCTGACTATCATAGTGGCATATGTCATTGGTCACGGACTGTCATAGTGACATACGTCATTGGTCACTGACTGTCATAGTGACATACGTCATTGGTCACTGACTGTCATAGTGACATACGTCATTGGTCTCTGACTGTCATGGTGACATCCGTCATTGGTCACTGACTGTCATAGTGACATACATCATTGGTCTCTGACTGCCATGGTGACATCCGTCATTGGTCACTGACTGTCATAGTGACATACGTCATTGGTCACCGACTGTCATAGTGACAAACGTCATTGGTCACTGACTGCAACAGTCACATACGCCATTGGTCGGTGGCTGTCATAGTGACATACATCGTTGGTAGCTGACTATCATAGTGGCATACGTCATTGGTCACGGACTTCCATAGTGACATACGTTATTGGTCACTGACTGTCATTGTGACATACGTCATTGGTCACTGACTGTCATAGTGACATACGTGATTGGTCACCGACTGTCATAGTGACATAAGTCATTGGTCACTGACTGTCATAGTGACGTACGTCATTGGTCACCGACTGTCATAGTGATGTACATGATTGGTCACTGACTGTCATCGTGACGTACGCCATTGACCACCGACTGTAACAGTGACATATGTCATTGCTCACCGACTGTCATAGTGACATACGTCATTGGTCACCGACATCAACAGTGACATACGTCATTGGTCACCGACTGTCATAGCGACATACGCCATTGGTCACCGACTGTCATAGCGACATAGGTCATTGGTCACCGACTGTCCCTTTATAGTGACATACGTCATTGGTCACCGACTGCCATAATGATGTATGTCATTGATCACCGACTGCCATAATGATGTACGTCATTGGTCACCGACTGTCCGTTATGGTGACATTCGTCAGTGGTCATTGGCTGTCATGCTAGAATGCCATTGATCACCGATTGTCTGTCATAGTCACGATATCAACCGCTGATTCTCATGCTCAGTGACATACGTCATAACACCTGCTTTCAGCCACTGACCGTATGTCCTGAAATCGTCGACTTACAGTCCACCCACTGTGACGGAATTGTGATGATTAGACTAGCGTTTGAATAACCCCGAAGATCAGCTCTACCAACCAGTTACTGATACTTGAAAATAATCCATACTATGCAGGTCCTGGGCGGTAAACACTAATTCCAAGGACTTCCTCACCCTGTACATGATCAATGGCGTCTATTCCCCTGGAGTGATTGTTATCGTCATAGTCAGGTGTGACGTCATGGGAGAGGGCTGCTTGCTTCAGCCATCCATTGTTCAAATGGAGCGTGTTGATATACCTAGAGAACATACAGGGATGTGCAACTGTTGTATAGTTGAAATACAAGCAGAGGCCCAGATAAGCTGTGTATCCGGATAAAATACGAATATAAAATTTCCAATTACGCAAAAAGTTTAAAACAAATGCGTACGGAATATATTTATAAAAATCGCTGGCGTAATGAAAGAGACATCGATTGCTATCAAGTTGTACTGTTGGTATAGGACAAGTGCTGTACTGTCCATTTAGCATAATAGATTTTTTAAGAACTCATTTCCGTTATATTTAAGTTGGTTTTGATTAGGTATGACATAGTCATAAGGCAGAACATACCTGTTTAGTAAACTAGCTCAGTCACATAATACTTAGGTGAGAAAAAGGACTGAAATACGCTCTGTACAAGTTTACAAATATATGTGTAATAAGTACATTTGCATCGTGTTTGAGTATGTTACAAATGTATAAGTGACGAAGTCTTTTTTAGCATTACAAATGCATGTAGATATTTCAGGTTATCTATGTACTACGGCCAGCTGGGTAGCCTAGTGGTTAAAAGTGTATCTCGTCACGCCCAAGGTCCAGCATCGACTCCCCATATTGGTTCAAAGTTCAGTTCCGGTGCCCTCTGCTGTGAGGTTGTTCGAATACATTACTGCTCACTTTAATCATGCTTTTAGCGACTTTTGTTGCATTTAACTTGTTTTTATTAGTCTGGGTACTCATGCCAAGTTTGAACACAGTCAGATGCCCTAGAGAGATGCAACAGTGATGGATGAATGTGTCTTTACCTCTTCTCCCAATCCACAGATACGCCCGTCGTGTTCCACTGCCAGCGGTGCCCTGTTATTGGTGCTGAGGACGTCACCAACAGCCTCGTGCCATGAACCACGTCCACATTTGACACCTTATCGTAGATGAATATTCGTCGAGCACTCTTGCTGTTTTCGGCCTTGTCGTGAGCAGTTAGCACAAGCGCATACACCCCGGGGTGTGACAGATGAACCTGACTCGTAGATATCTGAAGGTTAAGGATGATAAAACATTATTCAAACATTAAAGGTCAGAAAACACAAATAACCACAAATACGGATTCCAACATGGCAGTGTGACACTACCCCTGGTTATAACATGATTAAGTAAAGTGAGTGAGCTGCTGTCCACCACACCCTGGCCAGTATGTCAGTGAGTTGATGTCCACCCAACCCTGGCCAGTATGTCAGTGAGTTGACACCATGTCAGTCTGGTGTACACCACACCCAGACCAGTATGTCAGTGAGTTAATGTCCACCACACCCAGACCAGTATGTCAGTGAGTTGATGTCCACCACACCCAGACCAGTATGTCAGTGAGTTGATGTCCACCACACCCTGACCAGTATGTCAGTGAGTTGATGTCCACCACACCCAGACCAGTATGTCAGTGAGTTGATGTCCACCACACCCAGACCAGTATGTCAGTGAGTTGATGTCCACCACACCCAGACCAGTATGTCAGTGAGTTGATGTCCACCACACCCAGACCAGTATGTCAGTGAGTTGATGTCCACCCAACCCTGACCAGTATGTCAGTGAGTTGATGTCCACCAAACCCTGACCAGCATGTCAGTGAGTTGATGTCCACCACACCCTGACCAGTATGTCAATGAGTTGATGTCCACCATACCCTGACCAGTATGTCAGTGAGTTGACACCATGTCAGTCTGGTGTCGGAGGAAAGATGACTCAGGTCTCAGAGATGACACCGACCAGCCTGGATGTGATGTCGAGACCATAATGGCTGCTCTTGGTTACTTCCGACCAGCTGATACTGACATTTCTAACGGAGGTACTTGATTGAGGACACGAATATTATCTGAGATAACGGTATACCTCGCCTCTATGTCTGTCAGATTCAAAGGCCAGCGATTTCTCCACAAGTCGAGAGTCACTTCTGTTGGGATGTTCGTCATGAAGTTCAGAGACCGACACCAAGTAGGAGTACACCAGTACATCATCCCTCCATCCTTGCCAGGAGACGCTGATCGGGACCTGGAGACATAAGAATACATTGCAGGTCTGCAGGAAAGTCATCATCTCATTGATCGGGGCCTGGGGACAGGAGAATACATTGTATGTGTATATCAAAGTCATCAACACATTGATCGGGGCCTGGAGACAGCAGAAGACATTGCAGGTACACATCAAATTAATCAACACATTGATCGGGGCCTGGACACAGGAGAATACATTGCAGGTGTATATGAAAGTCATCAACAAATTAATCGGGGCCTGGAGACAGGGTAATACATTGCAGATGTACAGAAAGGCATCAACACATTCATCGGGCTTGGAGACAGGAGAATACATTGCACGTGTACAGGAAAGTTATCAACACATTGATTGGGAGTTGGAGACAGGAGAATACATTGCAGGTCTACAGGAAAGTCATCAACACAATGATCGGGGCCTGGAGACAGGAGAATACATTGCAGGTGTACAAGAATGTCATCAACACATTGATTGGGACCTGTAGACAGGAGAATACATTGCAGGTCTACAGGAAACTCATCAACACATTGATTGGCACCTGTAGACAGGAGAATACATTGCAGGTCTACAGGAAAGTCATCAACACATTGAACGGGGCCTGGAGACAGGAGAATACATAGCAGGTGTACAGGAAAGTCATCATCACATTGATCAGGGCCTGGATACAGGAGAATACATTGCAGGTGTACACGAAAGTCATCAACACATTGATTGGGACCTGGAGACAGGGTAATACAATGCAGATGTACAGAAAGGCATCAACACATTCATCGGGCTTGGAGACAGGAGAATACATTGCACGTGTACAGGAAAGTTATCAACACATTGATTGGGACCTGGAGACAGGAGAATACATTGCAGGTCTACAGGAAAGTCATCAACACAATGATCGGGGCCTGGAGACAGGAGAATACATTGCAGGTGTACAGGAATGTCATCAACACATTGATTGGGACCTGTAGACAGGAGAATACATTGCAGGTCTACAGGAAAGTCATCAACACATTGATCGGGGCCTGGAGACAGGAGAATACATAGCAGGTGTACAGGAAAGTCATCATCACATTGATCAGGGCCTGGATACAGGAGAATACATTGCAGGTGTACAGGAAAGTCATCAACACATTGATTGGGACCTGGAGACAGGGTAATACAATGCAGATGTACATAAGTCATCAACACATTGATCGGAGCCTGGAGAGAGGAGAATACATTGCCAGTCTACAGGAAAGTCATCAACACATTGATTGGGACCTGGAGACAGGAGAATACATTGCAGCTCTACAGGAATGTCATCAACACATTAATTGGGACCTGGAGACAGGAGAATACATTGCAGCTCTACAGGAAAGTCATCAACACATTGAATGGGACCTGCATACAAAATACAATGCAGGTCTACAGGAAAGTCCTCAACACATTTATTTGAACCTGGTGACAGGAGAATACACTGCAGGTGAAAGTCATCAACACATTGATTGGGGCATGCAGACAGGAGAATACATTGCAGGTCTACAGGAAAGTCATCAACTCATTGATCGGGACCTGGAGACAGGGGAATACATTGCAGGTCTACAGAAAAGTCATCATGACATTGATCGGGACCTGGAGACAGGAGAATACACTGCAGATGTACAGGAAAGTCATCATCACATTGATCGGTGCCTGGAGACAGGAGAATACATTGCAGGTCTACAGAAAGGTCATCATCACATTGATCGGGAGCTGGAGACAGGACAATACATTGCAGATGTACAGGAAAGTCATCACCACATTGGTCGGACCCTGGAGACAGGAGACTACATTGCCGGTCTACAGGCAATTCATCAACACATTGATTGGGATCTGGAGACAGGAGAATACATTGCAGGTCTACAGGAATGTCATCAACACATTGATCGGGACCTGGAGACAGAGGAATACATTGAAGGTCTACAGGAAGGTCATCAAGACATTGATCGGGACCTGGAGAATGGAGAATACACTACAAGTGTACAGGAAAGTCATCAACACATTGATTGGGACCTGGAGACAGGAGACAACATCGCACGTCTACAGGAAAGTCATCAACACATTGATCGTGGCCTGGAGACAGGGGAATACATTGCAGGTCTACAGAAAAGTCATCATGACATTGATCGGGACCTGGAGACAGGAGAATACACTGCAGATGTACAGGAAAGTCATCATCACATTGATCGGTGCCTGGAGACAGGAGAATACATTGCAGGTCTACAGCAAAGTCATCAACACATTGATTGGGACCTGGAGACAGGAGAATACATTGCAGGTGTATAGGAAAGTCATCAACACATTGATCGGGGCCTGGAGACAGGAGAATACACTGCAGGTGTGCAGGAAAGTCATCAACACATTCATCGGGGCCTGGGGACAAGAGAAAACACTGTAGGTGTATAGGAAAGTCATCAACACATTGATTGGGACCTGGAGACAGGAGAATACATTGCAGGTGTACAAGAATGTCATCAACACATTGATTGGGACCTGTAGACAGGAGAATACATTGCAGGTCTACAGGAAACTGATCAACACATTGATTGGCACCTGTAGACAGGAGAATACATTGCAGGTCTACAGGAAAGTCATCAACACATTGAACGGGGCCTGGAGACAGGAGAATACATTGCAGGTGTACAGGAAAGTCATCAACACATTGATCAGGGCCTGGAGACAGGAGAATACATTGCAGGTGTACACGAAAGTCATCAACACATTGATTGGGACCTGGAGACAGGGTAATACAATGCAGATGTACAGAAAGGCATCAACACATTCATCGGGCTTGGAGACAGGAGAATACATTGCAGGTGTACACGAAAGTCATCAACACATTGATCGGGGCCTGGAGACAGGAGAATATATTGCAGGTGTGCAAGAAAGTCATCAACACATTGATCGGGGCTTGGAAACAGGAGTACATATAGCAAGTGTACAGGAAAGTCATCAACACATTGATCGGGGCCTGGAGACAGGAGAATACATAGCAGGTGTACAGGAAAGTCATCAACACATTGATCGGGGCCTGGAGACAGGAAAATACATTGCAGGTGTGCAAGAAAGTCATCAACACATTGATCGGAGCTTGGAAACAGGAGAATACATAGCAGGTGTTCAGGAAAGTCATCAACACATTGATCGGGGCCTGGAGATAGGAGAATACATAGCAGGTGTACAGGAAAGTCATCAACACATTGATCGGGCCTGGAGACAGGAGAATACACTGCAGGTATATATGAAAGTCATCAACACATTGATCGGGAGCTGGAGACAGAATAATACATTGCAAGTGTATACGGAAGTCATCAACACATTAATCGGGGCCTGGAAACGACGAATGTACTGCATTTGTAAAACCCAGAGAATTAAAGAGATTTCGTTTATCATATCCCAGAATTACATACTTTTAGTTCCTATGGCTGACAACATTTTACATTATTCAATCAAGAACGTTGAGGAAAATAACGGCTGGCCCCCAATGACCTGTGTGTGGGTCTTGGCCAGAGGTACCATGTCCTCCGTGCAATTCTCCTCCACATCTAAACTGCAGTGATGTGGGTCTATGAAGTCGAACCCGAGAATGTAGCGATTGATTTGTGTCTTCCCTTCGTAGTAGTAGGTGACGAGGATGCCGCTCTCCTTGTTCCTCACTTTAACGTAGCCGCCATTAGTTGCCTCGAATGTGAATTCCATTCTAGGGAAGAAGGGATACTAGTAAATAGAGGAGTTCAATTAGTTTAAGTAATACGTAATGTGCTATTTAAGTAATACGTAGAGTGCTTTTATCTGTAAAATCGATTCAATTGGTATCAGATACGTATCATAAGGTGTTATTCAAGGAATCCCCTCATCAGTCACGTGACTCACATGTCACCATTCTCCACCGGAAGCGAGACAAACGTATCCGCAGTGACGTCTCCCTCACAGGTCAACTTAGCTTGACGAGGCGCCGTCTTACTGGAGCCATTGCAGGGTCGTACAGTGCTCATAATCACAGAGTTGTCTGGAACAAACCTTCAATTTCAGATCTGCGTACACCCATCGGAATATCCATACTGTGAATATTGGCGAATGTCAACGGTAAGTAATGTCACTTAAAGTACCAAAGGTGCTAAGTATGAACAAAATATAGTAAATAAGGACTAACTATGAATACAATAATAAATGCAATGAAGGCCATAGAACAAGTTCCACAATCGTACCTATAGAGCAGAAACCGTTACCACATGTTTGTACTGTTTACCAGCATTTGAAAATCAGCTTCGTCAAAGACATGACCATAATGGACAAAATCAGCAACATCCTTGCGCAAAACTCAAAATGTTACAGTAGAATGGGGTTCGTTACAGACAGTAACGACGGAGATGATACCAGGTAGTAACGAATGATACCAAACGGTAGCACCAATCAAAACAAACACATGCAAAGGCATATCAATTTTTCACATGAACGAACACAACTGACAGAGTCAAAATAGGCAATCGCACAGGAACAAGTTCCAAATTTGGAACTTTCCTCCCGTGTCTACCCACAAGATTTTGATGAGTCTTTAACGCATGAACTGTTCCTACTTCTTGTAATTTCAAATGTTGCCTTGGCTTGGATGATGCCCACAGCAAAGCCCTCTACATAGGCGTGTCTGGGTGGTGGAGTCGCAGTCATGATGAACTTGGTCTCGAACTTGTAGTAGATCGTCCTGGTGTCGTTTATGTTGGTCCACGACTCCTCCTGGGGCGCTCCTTCATTGGGGTTGTCTGGTGCTTCAACCTTGTCCAGCCCTGGCCCGGTCACCTTCAGTGTGTTGTACATGATGGACGGGTACGTGTCGACTGGAAATACAAGCCGAATGTGTGAATGTCAGTTTGCCCAGTGGAATCAGTTTGGTTATTCTCTGATATGAACCCAATCCTTACCGTATCTTTGTTTGGAACGCTTTAAGAATCACAACACGATGCAGCTATGAAGATAGTGACGCTAGGTTCAACCACACAAACCCGTGATAGACAAACATCGGGTATACCCGATCGTCTCTGGGACAAGAATGGAATACGGGGACCCTTTAGACCAAGACTTCACTGTGTACAAGCTGCAATCTATTTAAGGGTAGCCAGAAGCTCATTGATTAGAATATAGTAAAGCACGTTTATAATAAATCTTCTGCAATATTCTCCTGAAGAATCTAAAATGTAACACTGGTTTTGTAGATGTATTTTGTTCCTACTTTTCTCGCAGTGGTTGCCACTAAACTCTGCTGTACAGATACAATTCCTGGCATATTCATCTGCACATTCTCCAGGGTAGCACCGTGTGCTGTCACTCCGCCACGAACAGGCCTCTGAAAACATACAGTGTGTGGTTATGTCAGTCACACAGGACGATAAGGTCACTAGCTACAGGCGCCATCATGTCAGTCACACCGGACGATAAGGTCACTAACTACAGGCGCCATCATGTCAGTCACACCGAACAACAAGGTCACTAACTACAGGCGCCATCATGTCAGTCACACCGGACAACAAGGTCACTAACTACAGGCACCGTCACAATCGTAAGCTACAAATAGACGCTTATTGTGCATACTCTTTCTAAATTACCCAAAAAAAACCTGATTCAGATTGGGTGGGATATTTATATTCCCTTTCCACGTCATTTGCTATTTTCATAAATTATGCAGATCCCGGGATCAAAACTTACCACCTGATCCAATAGGAGAAGTACTACAAATTCTTAATTGTTAATGTGCTGTAGTAAGCCAGTATTGAATGTTAAGTATTGTAAAGATAGCGATCAAGTGCCCGCCATTCAAGGAACTTACGAATGCAGGATTTCTTGTCTGTGGTGACGGCGTAGGCTCGTTCCCCCTCCAACTCCCTGTATACCCCCCTCACACCTGGAACACACCTGGTCAGATGGAGACGTGCATTCCTCCAGGTCACAGTTGGAGATGGGCGAGCACACTGTCCAGAGACAATAGATTATACAGACAACACTGCATTGGGAACTACAAAACTACAAGTTAATTACATCTGACGTCAGCACATGTGATCATGGAGGAATAGGGTGAATATTGTACAAAATAAGTATATTGGACACTCACTCCGGCATCTGTTGGGGCTGGCATAGAAGCCATCATTGCAGCTGATGCAAATCTCTGGGAGGCTGCAGATGCCCCCGCTACTGTACTGAGTCCTACCATCGCTGTAGATGATGTGGGACGTTGTGTAGTCGATGTTACATGCGCCGGTGGGGTTGATGGCGTTGTCGCAAATGGCTGGAAACGTGGTAAAAGAAGCCAGATGAAAGATGTGTATTCAAAGACATATATTCTTTCACACCATCCCTTCTTGGAATATTTTTGTGATTATCCGAAATGAACATAACAGTAGTTTTACCGTGAGGGCATCCATGGTTATCGGTCGATCTGTATCCAGATTTGCACACATAATGGTTGTAGTGCACGGTCCTATTGAAAAGATGGAACTCATGTAAGTACACCGTATACCAACAGTCTGTACACAAAGACTTAGATGCAAGAAATGTATATCTTACACATTGTTACGTGTAGATCCATCAGTTGAAACTAAAGGGTTACCAGAAATCAACCAAGAAGCAAGTTCCGTATGGAAGCTACAAACAACAAAGATATGTTGTTTACCTAACAACTGTCTTCAAGAATGAAGACAAATCGATAGAAAGTTAACTAAATAGCTGTATACATTCAACTGAAGAACAATCACAATGGAAATACAAAGTTAAAATAGTGATTGCCGCAACAGAGACCGTAATCGAGATTACAAAATGCCAAGGCTGAGAATCCAGGGTTAAACTCCTCACAGGTATGGGCGTCTCGTGATTCCAAATGGAATAGGTGACCTATTAACTGTGCTGTGAACCTATCGTTAAGTCGATGGGTCCAACAAGGCCGGAATATTCCAAATGAATGACATCTCAAGTCACATGAAGACCAGCATTTTGTGTGGTCACTGTTAAACCCTGTATACTCTCGGGTTAGCCCAGTTTCATGCTGGATTGCTGTTGTTGACAGGTGAATATTACCATCATTGTATTTTTTTGCTATAATCGCTGTGGGAGTGTGGGAGTTGGCCATTACCTGTATCTGGTGCATCGACTCAAGCCATGCCAGCCACACTTCGTCGTGTATCGCTCTTGGCGAGATAGGACAATCCGGACTACGTTTATCCTGCGACAAAGGTAAACGTGAATGTGAATTATAACGTACTTTCACAACATGGAAGACCTTTGTTGATGCACTATGTCAATATGTAATTCGGTAACATTTACAAGTAAATCCTACAGGTAAAGATACTGAGGGCATCAAGGTTTCTTGCTCAGATTCTTCTGCTGTGCATTGTATTATGTGGACATGTTGAAACAGCATACGGCATTACAGTGTAGCGACGTCAGAGTACAGGGGAGCAGAATTTAAACTTATGTTGGGGTGTCCTTGATGTTTTGACGTTTTCCGACATGGAAATACCCAAGATATTTTCTATGAATCCATATCTACTTTACAAATCATATCATAGCGGGAAAATAAGTTTCTAAATAAAATATTACACGGTTTTTATTTTCATTTCTCATGAATCTGGCCACAACGAGATATTTGACGTGCATGGGAGTTTTAAAGAGAATGTGCTTTTAAAATCACTGTAATTCTCTATAGGTAGAAGAAAAGTGGACAGTTATGAACGTAGAGCGATCGGGAGTGTTGAAGTGTTTTGCAGAACTGGGATGAGAACAAGTTGATCTCTATTAAACTCACTTCAGAGTACAAGGAACTTAGTAGGTTAAACATCACTGCTTAGTATAAAACAGAAGGATCAAAGTAGAAGCATCATTCTACAAGGTTGGTAGTAAAAAAACATACAGAGTATGGAGAGTAGAGTGACGTGTGTCAGAGGTCTAAACCGGTGAGTGGGACGACAGATATATATGTAGATTCGTTCCCATGACCAGTGATCCGGGTTACAAGTAAGATACGCAAATCTGCAGCGAATCGTTATGGCATATACCTTTTATTTTGTATTTAAGAACAAGGTTTGCTCAAAACATATGACCGTTTCCATAGTTCCGGCCAGTCTCGTCTCTCCGTACATATTTCACTAACATTTACACCGTGCACATCGACTTCTAATCAACATGCCACAGTACATTCACATCCGCCACCCCTGGTACATAATTTAGCTCCTCCGATCATTCATTATCAGAGCGTCAGTCGACAGGTCGGGCTTTTCCCCAGTGCTCACAGATAGAAATTAGCAGGCATGTTGCTGTCTTGTTGACCAATAGAAAAAGTTAAGGTGACCTCCTCGATGGTCGAGATAAGAATAGATAAACAACCAGGAAGTACTTTACAGTGAAGTGTTTGAAATACAACCGACGTATATTGCCGTCAAATGTACATAACACTACAATGGACCGTAAATTATACATTAGGTCATTGCGCATTTCCTGTGGACAACATCCACAGAGAAAATATACATATTGTGTTATTTAACATGTATTTAGTAAACACTGTATTCATCAGGAAGTATATAATTAACATCTCTATCGAGCTAGATAGTTCTCGTTCTCGGAGTTTCGTTCTCCATTCATAAAGATCACTGCGCATGTATATTTCATTACACTTCAAACTTTCTTAAGCTAACACAAGGAGCTAGTGTATTGTGCAATAGTTCCTCTGGTGTACAGATTTTAGTGAATATTTCAAACACGATGATCCTAACTTGGTGCATCTTCCTACAACAGGACAGCTCCAGCACCACTGTCGCTGAAATCTACTGTCAAAACCGTTCTAGCAAACTGGTCTTTAGATTGCCTTTAGTTTTCTCAAAAACATTTCTATTCAAAACAAGCTTCACTCTTCTACACAACTAATTAGCTAGAAGTGTACTATATTTTGGAATTGTGACAACATTGACGATAGTAACCATCCATGCTCAAATTTCTTAAATTATTTTTTCGAAAGTGGAGATTTTTTAAACATCTTCTACCTTTGCTTGAATGGCCCTTTTACAATTCATCACATAGTCACATGGCATTTCTTACTAATCTAATACATTTCAACACCATGGAAACTTGATGGCCACCTACCCACTTGCCGCAAGCCCGTGAACACCATGGATCTGGAGGAGACAGAAGACTACACCGCAGATTGCCAGCTTCATCGCTGTGTTTCACCGCTCACGTCTTGTACGACATCAACGGTTACATGTGCAGTAATGTTTACAGCACGAATGCTGGATGACTAGAACGTGAGGTGGTTGTATGAGCAATAAATCATTCCTGGACATCAACCAATGGTTTTTTCTCCACCTGGCAGTCTTGGAATACTGCTGACGGCAGAGCACAACATCACACAAAGAATTTAGGTGGTTATGAAGAAATACCAAAATGGGCTACACCTTTGTTGTCAATCTAATCGAGCTGACCAACCGAGCGAGAGAAAGAGGAGGGGTGGGGAAAGGGGCATGGATGAGAGGGGCGTGTAGAGATGCGTTCCTGTGGCACATCAGGAACCAATGTTATACTGGTTCGAATCCAAACTCAGACTTTTGTTTCAAGGTGTGTCAACTTTCAGAGTGGTGAAAGACCCAACACCATTCGCCCATGTTGAAAGTTAAAGTATTTGGTGTGGGGTCAAGTAATGCTTTTGGGAAACAGATATTTTGTAATGTTTGGTGAAGGTGTCAGCTCAACATGCTTAGTGTTGTGCTGCATACCTTATGATGTAGATAGTCAAATTGAAACAACAGGTGAAGCAGGATTTAACACACGCACACACGCACGAGACGTGTATCAAATACTCAAATACGTGCCTGTATGCCCTATGGCGGGTTGTTTATGACGGGTGTTTTATTACGGTTGAGGCTGAAGTCTGTGAGGTATGTTTTCATCGAGCTTTGAGTAGGATGATGGCAGTTCATTTAAAGCAAACAAATTACAGGTACACACACATGTCCGTCTATCAAAGCCTTTTGTAATAGTGTGATATATTCTAGGTGACAGCGTGTGGCGTGTACTAACGCTTAGTCTCTACGCCAGTATCACTGTAAGAAGTTGTACATCGTATAGCATTGCTTGCCTCTCTGTTAATCCTACATCCGGTGTCAAGTAAAACCACCGTTTACCAAGAAGCCGTGTCGTTCCTGATTGTTGTGGCCATACTGGCATGGTGGCAGCGCTTACAATATGTACCGGTCTACCTGCGCTACTATTCAACAAGTCTGTATAGCCCGCATTTCACACATAAGTGAGCGATCAGCCAAATTAGAAGAGTTTGGTGACCCTCTAAGAGGATTTGTTAATGATGGGGAGAACGTTTTCTCGCACTCGCAGACAAACAGCTGAACAGAAAGTCAACATGCTAGAGTTAATGCTCGGGCAAATTGTTAATTGTTGCCCAGTCATCTCCAGACAGACTATCGTTAAAAATTCAACCTCCACTGATAGTATCTGGCAGATCATCAGATTACACTATGGTTTTCAATCCACTAGTGCCCTCTTTTTGGACTTTTCTGACATTAAACTCCAACAAGATGAACGGCCAGAGGATCTGTTTCACTGTTGAGCAATTAGATAAAATGAGATAATCAAAACACAACAATAGTTTCAAACAATAATCCTACACCAGTAATAACAAAATAAATCCTTGTTTAAATTGCAATTATAGGCTTAACCACATGTACAATTGGGCTGCCATGTGTGGACCAAAAGTCAGGCAATGAAACAATACTTTTCACAGCATAACATTCAGGAGGAACCTTTTCCCCAAGAGTTTGCTTGATTTGTCTCTTCAAGACCAAAAACAGTGCACAAGCCCTTCACTATAGCTTCCGGTCACCCAAAGTGCTTGTAAATTGGGAGTTGACAGATGAAAATGTGACGCAAGATTCCCGACCACTGGTGACGATGTTGGTCCGGCCAGCCATGGCAGTTAGAATGTTTACTTTGTAACACGACCCCCAAAGCGAGTTAGTTTTCTTGCAGATGTTACCATACCCTGAACCTGAGGAAATCTAGACTTGCTTTATTTAGGGCTTTAGCATTGCAGAGAGGGCTTGGCAATGGGGTAAAAATGTGCTTCAGGGACTGTGAGACAGACTACGTGTGGTGGTGAGAGTGATACAAAGTATAAAGTGTGAGGGTGAGGCGGTGAGAGTGAGACTAAGCATGAGGTGTGAGCTTCGGGCAGTGAGAGCGAGACAAAATATGAGGTGTGAGAGTGAGGCGGTTAGAGTGAGACAAAGTATGAGCTGTGAGCTTCGGGCAGTGAGAATGAGACAAAGTATGAGGTGTGAGAGTGAGGCGGTTAGAGTGAGACAAAGTATGAGGTGTGAGAGTGAGGCGGTGAGAGTGAGACAAAGTATGAGGTGTGAGCTTGAGGCGGTGAGAGCGAGACAAAGTATGAGCTGTGAGCTTCGGGCAGTGAGAATGAGACAAAGTATGAGGTGTGAGAGTGAGGCGGTTAGAGTGAGACAAAGTATGAGGTGTGAGAGTGAGGCGGTGAGAGTGAGACAAAGTATGAGGTGTGAGAGTGAGGCGGTTACAGCGAGCCAACAAACAACACAGACAGGTTATAAATTAAGAAATGTATTCCAAAATAAACTAAATATACAAATCAATGCACAGAATTTACAACATGGATACATGAATATACCTGTGCGTTACTACTTAAAATCTCGAATTGCATCAGACAATATTTTTAGCACTGATCCGTCAATCAAGGATATTTTCTCCAATCGTAACCATTTGTACCGAAGATGTTGTAACCTTGATCAAAATGTTTTGTCACTCTAAATGTTCATGCATGGATTTAAACATGAGACAAGCGTGGTGGTACCACAAGCCTCCTATATCCATGTTGATGTCGGATATCAGATCATCGATATACCTGACGCTAATATTAAACTTCTTCCCTTTGACCTTCGAACCTTTCCGTGAAGTCTGCAAGTCGTGAGTGACTTGGGGCGCATGCCTCTTACGGGATTTATGTGCATAGGAGATGAAGACGATATATTACATCCGATAAGTAAACTACATCAATGCCCTTTCGCATCATATCAGTAGTATCGTTCAGTCGACCTGCTGAATCAGCAGATTCTCACCATCCATCTACGTATTGTGCGTATGTATTGTAGTGTGAGCACGGAAGCAAATAAATGTGACTAATGACGAAGTATTTATTCACGATTTACACTTTTCCGTATCAACTGGAATCACGAGCCCACATCAACAGCCTGTGAGTAGTAAGCAGTGTATCCACACGCATCAATGGCTGTTATGGAGACATAAACGTCAGTGACAGTTTGAGGGTGCGAAGACAGGTTGAGGACCATCTCTTCCTGACGGGTCAGCAGCCCGTCCACTATATCTGCCCCACCCTCCACCCTACCCACCATCACCTCATACGCCAGCTGGTCCCAGGAGGAGGTGAACAGGCCCGGCCAGGACAGAGTTGTCACCCTGTCGGACGTCCTGGACGAAATCATCGCTGCTTCTGAAATTTACCACACATTTATAATATGGTTATCACCAGGAAACAGATAAGACACAGTATTCAAATGTGAAGCATTCAAATATACATTTATCATGGGTACATACTGCATCCTGTTTGAGACAAAACTTACTGTTCAGACTTGGTTGAGGTCCATGCATGGTGATGGATGTTTCTGTCGGGTTCCCAGCCTTGTCCAGCACATGCATGGCGCTGATGTTGTAGGTTGTCAGGTCGCTGAGCTTCAGGCCACACAGCTGGGCAGATGTGTATGTGAATATACTGGGGACGCTCTGCTGGTACAGCAAACTGCTACCCTGGATGCGAACCTATCAACAAACAGGTATGAATGTTAGATATACGTGTATGGATGGAAGTTTCCAGAACTGTAAGCGCCAGTTTCATTAGTTGTATATATTAAAATGACAAGTGTTTATGTAGTAGATGTCAGCTGGAGGAGACCTACCAGGGTGGTGTGAGGAGTCTCGGTTTCTCCTCCCTCCCACTGAAGTCTCACAGTGTCTCGGGCTACGTGACACTGGTCTCTGTCTGAGAACACAGACGGGCTCTCCTCCAGGACCTTGAAGCCAGCAACAGATGCCATGTCCTCACCGGACACGAGAACCACGCCATTAGATGAAGACTCGGAGACCTGCCCGACCCTGTTATAGCAACGAACTGTCGTGTACACCTTCACACTGGATGAGATGACCAGATCAGTCAGATTCCACCTGATATATCGTACTCCATGGATAGTTCTAGCAAACCGACGGACATCGTCATCTCCTGGGGTGTGTCCTGCAGAGGAAAGGACAGCTATTAGCACAGAAGATGGATACAGTACCCTCAGGACACACAAAGAAATGATAAAACAAACACAAGACACGCACTTGCTAAATACTTGTATGATTTCAATGATAAATGTATTTATAACTTGGGGTTAGTTTTCATTTTAACAACAAACAGATGTTACCCACAGCTGCCTCACTGTTCCCTACCTATAGCGACGTCACAGCTGACGGAATCTGACTCTTCATCTTCCACAGCCCAGTTGGCTGCCATGTCCCCTGGTGATAGGAAATCTGTATCCACACCTAGCAACAGAGCATTTAGCCTGTATCATCATCATATAGCAATGGTGGCAAGATCATACTAATGTGGTGTTGACCAAATCATTATATCGCATTATATCACTACTGCATAAGGCCAAGCTGAGACATAAATGTAATTGGGGACAGCAACCACTGCCATTGTCAGAAACGTTTTATCTGTATATATTTCTTATGCTTTATATTTAATGGAACTGGTTCGATGTTTCTGCTGGAGGACTGAAGTCCCCGAGTTTCATCACAACTCAGTAGCATTAATCTATGTCAACTTGAAAGGACACTTTTGGTCAGAGTCCTTAATATCAATGTGTTGTAAGAAACGTTTTTCTTGTTAACAGCGGAATCTCTGGCAGGGGTACTGTTGTGTGGTGTCGGACTATTTGAGGAGAGTCAACTCTGGGTATTCTTTGCACGGACGTTGTATATTTACCTGAACCATCGTTGACTTCTTGTATAGTTGGTGGTGTCATGTCCACCGTCAGGGGGTCTGCTCTGGTCAGTGATGTCAGGCCGGCAGCGTTAGTGGCGAGTACCGACACATACAGTCTGGAGTTGTGAGTTAGTTTCTTGGCAGAAAGTGTTCCTTGAGGGTTGCTACCAACGTTCGTGAAGCCTTGTAACTGTGTACCGCCTTCCACAAGCCCTGCATGAAGAAGTGATATTATCACGTAGTCTCTTTAAGCTGCTTAGGTCTATAGTTTTGGTTCCGTATCAAGTTCAAGTCTAAGAAATTATATAGTTTAAATTATTATTTTTTAAATTCATTACCATATCTCACCTAAAACACGTTAGACCATTCGATAATCATTTTCTGTGTTCTACTGAAGATCGCCGGTTTTACAGTCACCAGAAAGAAGCTCGCTTGTAACCACCCACGATTTACATTTCCATGTGAGTCCATTCAGCGCTGATGGGTTCGAAATAGACAATAGCCTGATATGATACTTGCCTTATAACAATGCGGGCGTCCAGAGTTTTCACGTGAGTTACATTTATCACCTGCATCGTGTTTTTCTCTCTCAGACAACGCGGATCCGCCGCGGTGTAAACCGTCAAAGTCAGTCGCTTTCAAGAGTATCCCAACTCTCGCCAAGTATACCGACAACCAGCTGGTAACATTGCAATAGGGACCCTGAATATCCACTTGTGCAGAAAAAGAGACTCACCTACTGCCCACTGGTACATGGTGATGGGAGACTCACCTACTGCCCACTGGTACATGGTGATGGGAGACTCACCTACTGCCCACTGGAACATGGTGATGGGAGACTCACGTACTGCCCACTGGAACATGGTGATGGGAGACTCACCTACTGCCCACTGGAACATGGTGATGGGAGACTCACGTACTGCCCACTGGAACATGGTGATTGGGGACTCACCTACTGCCCACTGGAACATGGTGTTGATGGGGGACTCACCTACTGCCCACTGGAACATGGTGATGGGAGACTCACCTACTGCCCACTGGAACATGGTGATGGGGGACTCACCTACTGCCCACTGGTACATGGTGATGGGGGACTCGCTGTCCGTGAAGTGCCAGGACACATGCAGAGACGACCAGTGAGGCAGGAACACGACGTTCACCTCCACGTGCTTCTCTGTGTCCACAGTCTCGTCATGTCCACTATAGGTGACGCTCTGCATTGTCACGTGATCAACAGCCATCACCATGGATCTTGACTTTGTGCCAATAGTAAGTTGTGCTGATGCCTCCCGAGCTATGAAGGAAAATGTGTGTGTATTCCACATGGTAACAGAATGTCTACCCACATCACACACCCCTCGGCACAGATTGGGCTCAAGACTGAACGTGATGACTTCAGCGCCAACTGACACGAAGCCTTCTATAGCGCTATGATGTGTGTCCGTGACCTCTGTATATCCTGCATGAATCTTCACTTTGTACATTTGTCCCACACTGAGATGTATATCTGCCTGGTGGACAGATCCGCTGACTACAACATAGCTGCTACCATGTCTGGCTAATTGACGCTCGGATGTAATGATGTGTATACACGAATAGTTGTCAGTCTGCCAGTACTCGGGAAGACGGCCATTACATGTCGATGAATTCTCAAGTTCATGTTGTATCTCAAACGAGGGATTTTTCACCAGGTTGTCTCCCAAGTATGCAACGGCCTGTGGTTCTGGGGGAGACGTGTCCACGACAACACCATCTGATACAGCTACGTCTGAGGCGTGACCCACTGCATCTACAGCATACACCTTGCTCCATAAACGTGTACCTAGAAACAAGGGAATATCAACATCAAGAGAATCCTAAAGGTTCGTTTTGTCATCAGTTCGGTGCCATCAAAAACCTTAAAAAGCGTCAAACTACATCATCCCACCTCTGTTGACAGACAGAATGTTTAGATTCACCATTTAGTCCAGGAGGAGGCAGCCTCCCCAGTCCTGATTTTGCAAACCAAATGTGGTGAAAATGCTCGCAGACCCCCACCCGGATAGAGGCCTGTAAAAAACTGATAACACAATCTGAGAGTATTACAGGCCTTTTCATGAGCCCAAGACATCATACTAACTGAAAATAGTGTCAAATAAAGTCAGTACTGGGGAGGCTACGAAATTCTATTTCTAGGCCTCTTTTGGGATTCTCCTCCTGGACTAATTGGACAATGTATATTTTAACACATGCTTCTGACAATTACTTTTGACACATTTTGTAATTGACCGGAAGTACGAGAAGAAGGATGAGACACAACCACCAGCTTCCATGGGTCACCACCATAAAGAATCTATACTGACAGAAGAAGCGTGTTGACATTTAGGTCAGAAAAACTGATCTGGACACATACCACTCTGGAGAATCTATACTGACAGAAGAGGCGTGTTGACATCTAGGTCAGATAAACTGATCTGGACACATAGCACTCTGGAGAATCTATACTGACAGAAGAGGCGTGTTGACATTTAGGTCAGAAAAACTGATCTGGACACATACCACTCTGGAGAATCTATACTGACAGAAGAGGCGTGTTGACATCTAGGTCAGATGAACTGATCTGGACACATACCACTCTGGAGAATCTATACTGACAGAAGAGGCGTGTTGACATTCAGGTCAGATGAACTGATCTGGACACATACCACTCTTGAGGGGTGAAGCAAGTTGTGCCTTGGAGGTGGTGTGAAGCCCGGTCTCCCGCCAGCCTAGCACACTGCAGTCGGTTGTGTCGTTGAGTCTTCCCACACACCAGAAGTATGTGATGATGGTGGAGTCCGTGTCGGAGAAGCCGTGCCAGGAAGCCGATACAGCGGATGGAGAACTCTGGTAGTCCGCGTCGTGCATCTCTGCCGGAATGGACCAAATAGAATCAGACATGATAACTACACACGTCACCCGTGTTTATCCTTCGTCAAAGTGATCGTGTCTTACACCACACACCAAGTGATCGTGTCTTACACAACACACCAAGTGATCGTGTCTTACACCACACACCAAGTGATCGTGTCTTACACCACACACCAAGTGATCGTGTCTTACACCACACACCAAGTGGTCGTGTCTTACACCACACACCAAGTGATCGTGTCTTACACCACACACCAAGTGATCGTGTCTTACACCACACACCAAGTGATCGTGTCTTACACACACACCAAGTGAGTGATCGTGTCTTACACCACACACCAAGTGATCGTGTCTTACACCACACACCAAGTGATCGTGTCTTACACCACACACCAAGTGATCGTGTCTTACACCACACACCAAGTGATCGTGTCTTACACCACACACCAAGTGATCGTGTCTTACACCACACACCAAGTGATAGTGTCTTACACCACACACCAAGTGATAGTGTCTTACACCACACACCAAGTGATCGTGTCTTACACCACACACCAAGTGATCGTGTCTTACACCACACACCAAGTGATAGTGTCTTCACCACACACCAAGTGATAGTGTCTTACACCACACACCAAGTGATCGTGTCTTACACCACACACCAAGTGATCGTGTCTTACACCACACACCAAGTGATCGTGTCTTACACCACACACCAAGTGATCGTGTCTTACACCACACACCAAGTGATCGTGTCTTACACCACACACCAAGCAATCTTCCAGATACGTGTCTGGGCCGGAAAATCATTGAGTGTGTCCCCGATTATATCTGGGATAACACTTTCTCAGTAAAGCATGGATTATATCAATGAGACAGAGTAATCCCATATATACCATTATACCTTTAATCCAGTAACTCACATTCTGTGAAAGTGATAGTTGTGTGACCGTGTCAACGTTAACCATTCCCTATCACCTTTCTAGACTTTAGGTAGCAGGACGCCCTGATACAGTTGACATACTGCGGTATACAGGAACGGGCTACACAGGAATTCAAGCTCTAATTGTCTTCTCTGTACTAATACTGAAGGTGCGGTACCTTGTCCATCACTGACTGTGCCCGCTTCTGGAGGCAGCACGTCCACTCGGACACTATCAGAGTAGGCCCAGCTGACCAGGCCAGCCTTGCTGTAGGCCACGACACTGGAGAAGTACACTGTGGCTGCCTGTAAACTCAGTTTCCTTGCTGTGTAGCTCGTGGTGGTCAGGTCATCAGATGCGTGGATACTGTGACCTGAAGAGTGAGTGAGTGAGTGAATGGGTGAGCGGGTGAGTGAGTTGGTGAGTGGGTGAGTTTAGCCACATTATGACAGGGAGACCAGAAACGGGTTGCATACACTGTACACGCAATTTAATGCACCAGGATCTATTCTTTAGAATTACCAACACTGTCGATTTCATTGCCTTTGCGCAGAGATGTGAGATGTGTCTTTGGATGTGGTCTGCACTGTAAGCCATGAATCAATGTTCGGGGTAAAATGTATGGACACGCGCTACCAGGTTACATACATAGAGACATTCACGTCATGTTATATACTGATCTGTAACGTGAAGACGCTCACCCCCGGGGCTTGTGCTGATGTAGACTCGGTACTTGAGAATACCAGCGGCGCCCGGCAGGAACTTGTTGGTCCAGCTGATCTTCATTGTGTCCGTCTCCTTCTGGAAGTCTACATCCTTCACTCCATCGTCACCCCTCACCTCAATAACCTGCATCATTCACATATAGTCTACATCCTTCACTCCATCGTCACCCCTCACCTCAATAACCTGCATCATACACATATAGTCTACATCCTTCACTCCATCGTCACCCCTCACCTCAATAACCTGCATCATTCACATATAGTCTACATCCTTCACTCCATCGTCACCCCTCACCTCAATAACCTGCATCATAAGGTCCTCACACTCACATAGTCTACATCCTTCACTCCATCGTCACCCCTCACCTCAATAACCTGCATCATTCACATATAGTCTACATCCTTCACTCCATCGTCACCCCTCACCTCAATAACCTGCATCATACACATATAGTCTACATCCTTCACTCCATCGTCACCCCTCACCTCAATAACCTGCATCATTCACATTCACATTTAGTATACTACAGAGAACGGGCGAATGCATGGAATATATCACCAAACATTAACATCTTAAGAGGCCAGTAGAACTGTGTCGCAGAAACCTTTATAAGCCTTTTAATCACCATTCATTGATCAAGAGGTATCACATTTATCGTTTTCTTCAGTGTAAGTGGAGCGCATATTGAGATATTGAAAACAGACTTGCACTACAATGGACAGTACAATACTCACCTCGAGAGCCTGTTTGTCGGTTGCCTTGGGAGGAGCTTTGTCCACCATGACCCCGTCTGACCTGAATACACTGTACGTCGTCCCATCGTACCAGCCTCTCACAAAGAAGGAATACTCATGTCGACTGCTGAGGTTCATGCCTTGGTTACAAACACCACAGTTTGTGAGAATAGTTCGCCATAGTCAACACTCTTGTACACACATTCTTTCTTTCCCATTCCTTTTTTAAATGATTACTATGATCAATACGATATAAAACCTTGGCTTATGACATGTAACAGAGCCGCTGCCCACTTTGTGATCCTATTGTTGGTTAAAGTTATATAATCTATGGACTTGGTCTGATATATCAGTCAATACCGTTTGGCAGAGAGATGACCGCTGATGTTTGCCGCCCGACGCTGAACCACACTCTGCGGGAGTGAGTATCAAACACCCCCGTGGGGTAGTCGTTGTCGCTGTCTCCCGAGACTGGCCTCGTACCTGCAGTCAACAACAGTGTCTGAGATACCAGGCAGTACGAAAATATGGCGAGACTTTTCAAAGCTACAGATGTTCTAAATTCTAAGATGCCTAGCGGTTAGAACAATCGAAAAAAAAATACATTATCAGACAATAAAGGTTTAGTTTTTTGATGACGTAACAATTGAATGACGTTATCCCGTCACTGCGCCATTCTAGTGTGCCCCCTCGTAATCGAACCATTTTACATTACGTCACAATGTAAGCGACGCCACGATGCATGTCAGTTGTCATCGCCTCGTACGGCCTCCTACAGTAAACTACACCGTTGCAATCAGTTTCTTGGTTTGCTGTTGCTTCACGCAGCTAACATCACTGGTGGAAACATTACGTTTATGTTTTACGACGGTTAAAATGTGTCATTTCGACTCACAAGTTTTCAGCGACACGGTAACGTTCGTAATGTTTACATTCCCACAATGCAATTGTGGAATGTCGCTTGACTACTCAACTTCCTCTGGATGTACTGATCTAAACTTACGCTGGTAGTAGAAATGCAACGTTCATATTGCCCCATATGGTTTACGTTAATGACAGATGTAATTAAAATAATTCAGAGAAGATCGTTAATCCGAACGTAAACCGTCATCAAACTGTTATCATTTGTTTTTTTCTGGTAACGTTCGTCTTAACGTAGGGGGCAGACACATCAATAGAACAGCGCGCCAGTTAGCCCTGTGCGAGGATTCTTAATTTAGGTCACCGACACCGTCGTTTGTTTTCTGCCTTAAATTAATCGTAATTATCTTTAGAAAGTATTATACAATGCAATTGTGGAATGTCGCTTGACTACTCAACTTCCTCTGGATGTACTGATCTAAACTTACGCTGGTAGTAGAAATGCAACGTTCATATTGCCCCATATGGTTTACGTTAATGACAGATGTAATTAAAATAATTCAGAGAAGATCGTTAATCCGAACGTAAACCGTCATCAAACTGTTATCATTTGTTTTTTTCTGGTAACGTTCGTCTTAACGTAGGGGGCAGACACATCAATAGAACAGCGCGCAGGTTAGCCCTGTGCGAGGATTCTTAATTTAGGTCACCGACACCGTCGTTTGTTTTCTGCCTTAAATTAATCGTAATTATCTTTAGAAAGTATTAAATTTGGCATCTTAGAAAAGAAATACACTTCGCCCTACCACCATGTATAGTGTAATAAAATACACTTTCGCCCTGAACTATTATAACGTTAAAGCACTCGGACGCAAGCGTCCTCGTGCTTTAACTATAATAGTTCAGGGCAAAAGTGTGTTTTATTACACTATACATGGTGGTAGAGCGAAGTGTATTTCTTAATTATAACCTTACTGTGTAAAAGGCAGCCCTTGTTGTTTCAATACCGTCCAACGGGCAGCCATGAAGGTGTCTGATGGCGAGTGGTCAATGTCTTGGGATGCCGTGAAGCGGAGGTCAGTGACATCGGTCACACCAAGAACGTCGTTTGACCCACCTGGGATATAAAGTGTGTTATCACCGCCATGAAATAACGACTACTCTCTCAAGCAATAACTGTAGACTGATATTCCACATTCAGAAATTATTATGCTATAATCACGAGTAATGTGAGACAACCTGTCACCTTTGCCTTCAAAACGAACACATCTACGAAAATATAATTTTCTTCAAATGTGGGCCAGTAAACTTTTTTTAGAATTCTTCAACAGAATTCACGAGAATTCTATTATCCGCGCTGGAAAGGCTTCCCATGTGACCTACCATCCTGTAGCTGTGTACATCCGGGTGTGTGCTGGCACGCCCCGTCCTGCACGGCACAGACACAGTGCCCCTCACAGTTGTACGACTGACACCGTCTCACCAGCTCCAGCTCACCCCCGGCGCCTAGTTCCAGTTCCAGGTGAAGCGCATCGCTCTGAAGGCCGACCTGGGGAAGTTCACACGGAACAAACATTCAAACAAAGAAACACACTAAAGACAATAAAAAGTGAATGGTATTTGTGTCTTTGTGGGCTAAAGATTTATAATATCAACTTGAAAGAAACAACCAGTCTGGATTTTCTGCGAAAACAAATTCTATTGCAGCGTTAAAGGCATATTAATGGGGATAACTACGTGAATAAACCGGCTGTAGAAATATAAACAACTTGAAAAAACTTGTCAGTTACGATGTTCTGCCAGTGGAAATTCCATTCGGCGTAAAAGGCCAATTAGCCATAAAAACTATATGCATAGACCACTGAAAACATTGGGAACACGTGGTGGTCGTCAAAAGAGTCACCATGTAACACCTACCCCGTTGACAGCCCAGATTGCCACAAACACAGACCGGGTGGAAGAGAGGTCCTTCGTGTGGACAACACCAGTCTGAACTCTGCCTTCGTCATCGTGCTCAATGCCAGACACATTGTGTTGTACAAGGACGGACGTGTTTCCCTGAAACAGACACAAGTACATATTTAAAGCTTTAGATCCTGTAGTGAGTTTTAGTTACTCTTGAGAACTACGTTCAATCAACAATCTGAAACACACGTTAACAAATGTTCGTGCCTCTATGCATTGGCAATGTTTCTTTTTGTGTCTTGTTCCACTTGATTTCTGTTTCTTCAATATCTACACACAGGTGTAATATATACACTCATGTATCCAAGCTACTGTACTTTTATGTCATAAAACAACGCATGTACGTCATAAAACAAACGGGAACGGGATTATACCTCAGTAAGGTCGGTTCCGAACTCAGCAGACCCCACTGTCATGATGTAGTGAGTTATTCCAGAATGTAGATCAGAGAAGCCAAGCCAGGCGAGGTTCAGATGAGTCTCGTTCCATGTCATCCAGCCCGACTGGTGTCGTGACAACCCCGCTGCATGGTCGGTGTGCACGGCTAGCGCACCTGCATTACAATCATAGAACCGTGTTACTGAGAACAGTGTCGAAGATATTTCAACAAGGATTCATGGATTCAGCGTTGTGTTACATGTAAAAGATTCATGGCGACAGAATGGTATCACCTGTCAAACACTCAGCGTTGTGTTACCTGTCAAAGAGTCATGGATACTTTATTGTGTGTTACCTGCCAGAGTCAAGGATATACTATCGTGTGTTCACTGACAAGGATTCGTTGATTAAGTATTTTGTTACCTGTCAAAGATATTTGGATACTGTATTGTATGACCTGTCAAAGATTCATGGATGCAGCATTGTGTGTTACCCGACAAGGATTTGTAGATTCTGGACTGTGTTACCTGTCAAAGATTCAGCATTATATGTTATCTAACAAAGATTCATGGAGACAGTATTGTGTGTTACCTGTCACGGGTTTCGAGCTGTCTACCAATATGGCACCAGTATCTGTGGAGTGACATAAGCCCGCCATATTGCAGGCGACGAGCTTCACCGTGTAGCTGCTTCCGTCGTGGAGGTCCAGCTGGGACAACGTGTATTCTTCCAGAAGTCCTGGAAGCTGTACAAAACGTATGAGAGGAAAGGCTGTGGTTTGTCATAAATGCACTTTGTACAGGATATCGAATCCCTTCAAAACAGAAACGATCTAATGGTGTCTAGATGGAGTTTAGATTTCTAATGATATCGACAAAAGCTCCGACACAGAAAGACTGCTCCATAGCCATGTAGATATGGATGATAAAGACTGCGGTAGATATTATATTAGTTGTGTATACTCCATCGTGCATTCACAAACATTTAACAGAACCCTATGTGACAACTGACAGTCACCTTCATAAGATGTGACTGGAACTCCCCCCAGTTGGTGAGATGAGATGGACAGGTACTGTCTCTTGATGTAAGACTCTTCGTCCTTGAACTTCCAGCCTATCCTCAAAGTCGTCCTACTGATGGACGTCCCAGCCACAACGGATCCATATCCATCCAGGATCCCTGGTGTCTCCACTACTTCGGGTGGACTGATGTCAACCACAAACCCGTTGGACGTGACTTCACTGTATAAACCTGTCACCAAAGTGTCAAAAGATGTATACACCTAGCTGTAATTACCTGATCCGTTCTCAGTTTGAGGTTTTCTATGTCACAAATGGGGACGACAGAGGCCGTTGGACGACCCATGGCCTCCATCACTTCAAAGTAAGAAATGCCTGTGTATATGTGCTGGGGGTTTCAGCCCATTCCTACATGTTAAGATGGTAAAAAAGTTTGGTTTTTGCATCAAACTATATGCTCCAATTTTCTTGTATAATCAGCAAATCTTCTACTGCGGCAGGAATTTGGAAAACAAGATGGCGCCCCTTCAAAACTACCAGAGAGGTTTGTTTTCTATCTCGATGCATTATTCAAAGTTCCTATTCAATGGATGGTGTATTCAACCGGATATGTAGTACGTTGCAAATCTTAAAGTGTACATTTGACCTTACAATACTGGGCGAACCATAGCTTCCAGCACTGACATCCAATCATCAGAAATGCGAGACGAATCAGAAGATGACACGACAAATGTACTTCGTCTTTATCCAGCATTGTACTCAACTGACATGTGATGCTAATGGCGTATTCTAAGTAATCACCTGCTTTATTGTAGGCCCGCACTGTCGTGTATAGAGTCTGTGCCACCGGAAGCTGGTGGTCACGTGACAGCGTCTGGAAGATGGCCTCTTCTAGGCCTGCGTTCGTTGGTTCGAGAATCTCGCCACCTCCTGGTGTTGTTCCTACGCGCCATTCATAGTGGTCCAACCCAGACTCAGGGTCCTGGAAGCCCCGCCACTTACATCCAAGGAATGTCCTGAGGATATATATCATACTGAACTATGTAACAGGGTGATATGATGTTTAGATCCCTCAGTTCTTAACTCCTAATTATAACCTTCCGTTCAGGTAAAAGCACAGTAAAACAGTTATTTTGTAACATCTTTGTTAGTTCTATTTTACAAACGGATAGTGTCATTTTTATCGTTGCAAGAGATTGTTGACAATACTTTTTTCCAATAACACCCCTCATGATCACCTGGAAGCCTGATATTGGACATCTTCATCTCGGGTTCCGTCTATGATGTTCCCTGTTCGTGGAGCTGTCACATCTAAGATGACGCCATCACTTGTCGCCATGGTGCACATACCCGCCATGTTGCACGCGGTCACCGTCACGTAATACGTCATGCCGTACTTGAAGGAAACGTCATAGAACCGCACATCTGCAGCAATAAGACGTACATGTCTTCATAAATATCAGTACAAATAGACACGCACGTTATAAGCTGTTTCTATATAAATTTAAGTACGAATTTTGCATGTCCCTTGCAGTGCATGTGCTGAAATATCTGCTAAAAACGGCCTAAAACCATACTCACTTACTCACAACAACTGAGGTATGGTTTAAGGTGCATCATGCATGGCATCAAAGAAAGAGAATCGCTGTTACCTGTTCTTGCTCCCACGTGTGACTGAGCGAGCGTGTCGTCACATCCCCGACACGTTCCCACCTGGAGGACATAGTGACTAATGGAAGAGTGGGGGTCAGAAAACCCCTCCCAGTAGGATCCCATCTCCGATATCACGGTGACAAAGTCTGCATCCTTGATCTGGCCACTTACGATGCTGCCTTGTCCATCATACACGTGGCCGCTAGAGGGCGGCGTGGTGTCCGCCGTCACAGGTCGTGATGTTATCAAACTGTGCAGACCTACTTTGTTGTATCCCTGAAAGAAGGTTTGGACATTATGGTGTCATATCAGGTTCATACTCTTTTCTAATTATAAGTACAAATATGGCTGAATGAGTCTTACTGGGGCGATGGGGAAGCCTAGTGGTTAAAGCGTTCGCTCGTCACGCCCAAGGCCCGGGTTCGATTACCCACATGGGTACAATGTGTGAAGCCCATTTCTGGTGCCCCCGTCGTGATATTGCTGGAATATCGCTAAAGGCGGTGTACAAATAAACTCACTCACTCACTAGTCTTGAAAGTAAGGTTTGTATGTCCATGCATTACCTTTACTGAAACAATGTAGACATGTCCGTCTATTAGGGTTGCCCCGCCATTGTTTCACGCTACAGATACAGAATACATTGACTCATAGATTACCTTCACTGAAACAAAGTAGACATGTCCGTCTATTAGAGGTGCCCCGCCGTCGATAGCCATACACTGGTCCGTTGTAGATGTGTACTTGACCACGTCATCATAGGCAGGTCTCGACCCCACACCAACGTCATAGCTAGTAATGCCACTCTCCGGGTCAGACAGAGCTCCCTCCCAGCTGGAACAACCAGACCACAGACAGTCAATACATCCAGAACTGAAGGCAACCTCACTGTCCATCTACAACAACCAGACCACAGAGAGTCAATACATCCAGAACTGAAGACAACCTCACTGTCCATCTACAACAACCAAACCACAGAGAGTCAATACATCCAGAACTGAAGACAACCTCACTGTCCATCTACAACAACCAGACCACAGAGAGTCAATACATCCAGAACTGAAGACAACCTCACTGTCCATCTACAACAACCAGACCACAGAGAGTCAATACATCCAGAACTGAAGACAACCTCACTGTCCATCTACAACAACAGACCACAGAGAGTCAATACATCCAGAACTGAAGACAACCTCACTGTCCTGTCCATCCAGAACAGAAGACAACCTCATTGTCCATCTACAACAACCAGACCACAGACAGTCAATACATCCAGAACTGAAGACAACCTCACTGTCCATCTACAACAACCAGACCACAGAGAGTCAATACATCCAGAACTGAAGACAACCTCACTGTCCATCTACAACAACCAGACCACAGACAGTCAATACATCCAGAACTGAAGACAACCTCATTGTCCATCTACAACAACCAGACCACAGACAGTCAATACATCCAGAACTGAAGACAACCTCACTGTCCATCTACAACAACCAGACCACAGACAGTCAATACATCCAGAACTGAAGACAACCTCACTGTCCATCTACAACAACCAGACCACAGACAGTCAATACATCCAGAACTGAAGACAACCTCACTGTTCTTCTACAACAACCAGACCACAGAGAGTCAATACATCCAGAACTGAAGACAACCTCACTAGCAATCGTCTTTGTTTTTGTACAAATAAATGCTAATTACTGCACAGGAAATATAAACGAAGTACATCATAGAAATGCAGCACATATTCAGTGGCATCACCATTACAATGGCAGTATGAACTAGCTTCTGTGATGACAAGGAAGTAAGGTGAGGTGAAATGGGGTTTAACGTCGTACTTTAGAATATTTCGCTCATATGACGACGTGCTCTATTTTAACGTCTTTTGGTATGACGCAGACGGAGATCGAACCCGCGACCATCCGCTCTCCGGCGGACGCTGTGGTTACTTCACAACGGAGGCGGTCTACAAGGAAGTAAGACTGCTGGTCTTGATACAACGTGAGGCGCGGGCGGCGCTTGTTGGCTCTATATAGTATCAATCATTACCTAACGTGTTAAATTCAACTTTGCTGGATAATTCTGTGCTGTTCTAATATCGCTGCCCTCTACTGAATCCTAACAGAAGCAAGGTAATTCAACTACAACAAATTGTTTTGAGATGTATGAGGTTGCAATTGCCACCCAAATAAACGCCAGTCGAGCTGCGACTGGGTCACTTACCACACATCTATCACAGACGTCGTCAAGTATTGTCCAGAGAAATGTATTGACCTCCCCGACGTCACCGGCGGCGTGGAATCAATCAACATCCCCGACGATATGACGGTCTTGGTCTTGTTCACAAAGTCGGTGGCTGTAAAACAAGAAGCTTACGGTAACCCACAAAACAAAACAATATATGAATATAAACGTAATAACATTAATTTGTTCATTAGTCTGCAATGTCAAGACAAAGTCAGCTTTATATGTACTCTGTAACCACCCATCTATACAAAATGAGGGTCAGTATTGCACCTGTCACTGACGCGTAGATGGTGTGCCCGTCGTGCAGCTGGAGGCCGTTCAGGATGACGTGGTTGACCAAACCCTGTCTCCGTGCTGTCGCCACATCCTCCCCTCCAGGATCAGAACCTACGAAACAGCAGTCAGCGTTGTTTGACCAACATCTCGTCACCCAAAACAACATTTAATGTTTAAACAACACTAATAATTCAGTTTTATAACGTTTGTCTTTACAAAATCGAATCTCGACCAGACAATCCAGTGATTGGTGAACAAAGGTCAACACAAATCCAAGTTACCCAATCTGACTAACGATGAGCATAGTTTGATGGCTCAAGTTGGTCGCCTCTTCCGATCACATTATCTTTATTTCTGTAGGACCTATTAGGGCGTACCTTATGATAAACACAACCTGCTCGATCTGACGCCTGCTAAGATCCCTGCTAAGACATAATGAAAGCGTACCTAGAGCAACTTCATAATATGCTATCCCACTGGGGTGTGGAGAAGACCCTTCCTCTTCCACGTCAATGAAGCCGTCCCAGTAAACCTCGATCTCACTGGTGCTGGTCTGAATAAACATACATGTAGAACACAGTTACACGCAACAAAACACAATATGCCACCGGCAACGCTGAGGTATCCGACAAATGACAATAAAGATTGGGTTCACTCATGTAAGGTAAAGTCTTCAGAACCTTATTTCATTATTGAGAAAACTACACTTGAAGAACTTATAACTACCTCTCTTGGAAATGACACATAAGTAAGTGAGAATGTTTCCATTAAAGATCATGTTTTCACATATTCCTGTTTCACGTCATTTCACGTACGATGCGTGGGAATTGTACCGATCTCCAGCTGATGCTCTATCTTGCTAAATGTATGAAAGTCAGTTTCTGAAAGGAGAATAGCTTATATGTTGAGTATAACGGTTCAGGTTGATGTCATGAAAAGAAAAACAATGTCAACAGTTGGGTAACCATTTCACCTGGAACGTGGGTCTGGTGAGGCCCCCAAGAAATACCCTTCCTCCGCTAGGTGGCGTCATGTCCACCGTGACCCCGTCACTACACGAGCTGACCTCTGGTAAGTCCTCTGTCCACTTCTCGTACTCCACGACTCTCGCCCCGGCATGAACACACACATAGTACCTCCTCCCGTGAACAAGCCAGCGTTCTGCCTCGACCACGTTCAGAAATTCCTTGTCTGAAACACCAAGTATCACATATTCATGATGGCATGAGGTAGATTTTTGAAACCCATATTTCTGTTCTACGCAAATTCACTTTTGAGTGATATGAAGTGTATAAAAACCTTTAGCATTTGTGATGTATTTTGGTGATGTTTCCATCTTCAGACATATCTCAGCTATATAAAAGTAGGAACTAGGTCTTCATGTAGCCTGCAGTAATGATCTGCTACTTCTAGTTTTGTTAATCAGCTACCTGTGTGGCCGCACTTGATGACATCCGGCATGCTACAGGGGTCAGTGAAGGTCATCAGACTGTCCTTCTTGTAGTGAGATGAGGGGTCCAGCTGGTCACCTGACAGCACTGCCCACGTGTAGTTCCTGTGACGGAGTGTGGGCCACACAGCAGACAGGATGTTCCTGTAGGGGCTGTAGTCAGCATCAGCGGTGTCCCACCCGTCATTCTGGTCCAGAGAGATGGGGTACCCGACATCATCAACCTGTCTGGCGCCTGTCAGCAGGATGGCAACTACATGACACTCGTCAAATATTCACCTAAAATGTTTTGGGACCGTATGGCTCAAATCATAATATTTAGGGAATTGCATCAAACATCATTATTTCACTGATTTGTCAACGTCCTCCCTCTACCATCAAATTGTTGGAAAGCCTAACTGAGGAATTGAATGTTGTGACCTTGATCGAGTCATTCCTGAGCAAGAGTCGTATGGCGCCTTTTGACGTACACCCGTCCCGTTCTGCACACAGCCAAGACAGTAAATATTCCTCCTGACAGAAAGCGCCGATAAGTCGAGCTCACTAATATTATTATTTAACGAGTAAATATATGCAGCAATGATGCTTAAGGTGACCTTGACATAGTAACACTGGTTAAGTTTATCATCAGCTCAGGCCTTTTGCCTCATATACACGCATCCTAGACAACGACTGGGAATTGTCACAGCCAGGAAAAGCTGCCTTTTCGCACCCACCAGTAACCTTACAGAGAATGTGAAGACTCCCCATCACTGCAGCCTTCTATATTACCAACATTGTCAGAAGGGTTGTGTTCCTAGCACACGCCGTTACACTCCAAGTGTCAGAGTGGTACTGAACCTAAGGCTTATCATCATAATTATCACTGTCCATCCATATGTCGCATGCTCACAGCTCTGTGGCCCTTGGAAATCTCAAACACATCGTCCTAGGAAATTCTGGTAGGGATATCAATCATGCTCTGAGAATGTATTCCTCACCAACAACATCGATAACAATCGTAGGGACTACGACAGCAGGGTCGTATGCAGCACAGTCTCTCACGTCGGCGGATACGGTGGTGGAGAGCCCCACCTTGTTGTAGCCTCGAACAGCAAGACGTCGGCACTTGCTGAAGTCCAGGTGTTTGGGCAGATGCACGTGGAATGTCATCTGGAATATAGGTTGTGTGGGTTTTCAACACCCTGTCACTGTTGTGATTTGTCTGTAATGCTATCAAGATTCAACGTTGCCTCGCTGGAACCCGGTTTACGCCAATGTTAGAGAATAACCAATCTGGATTATCTAAAATAGCGTTGAACATTAAATGAAATGAAACACTGACCATCAGTGATAGCACCAAGTAGCCCTGGAAAGGGGTAGCCTATGCTACGGCAGCAAATTCCACTCACACAAAGTGCAAGAGAATGAACGTTTCAATGTTGCCTGACGCCACACACAACTGCCATGCAACGCTGACATAAAAGAAACCAGACAATCGGGTGATGTACAGACACGTCCACAGACAAGATAGCGCATTATTGAAAACTGAAGATAATATGTTCACTTCACAGGTGATGTCGCTCAGATCCCCATTGCAGTTTTAACATTGCTACGGCGTACAACAATATTCACTTTCCTCAACATACCACATCTCCACTGGTTGTGCTGTCTGACACTGGCTGCCACGTTGTCAGAAGTCTGCTGTCGTGGTCACCGTTTGCTAAACTCCACTCATATCTGTCCACAACGCTGTATGCTTCATGTTTCACTGGTATGTCAGGGTCAGCAAATCTGGTCATGGTCACCTCAAGCTAGAACACACGCAGTGTAAAGGTCATTTATATTGTGTTATTAAACCACGCATAGAAGTATAATTCAAGGACATTCGTTGTGTTCGTTCACAACATCATTCTCTAGACAAACCATGCCATGGACTTACATGACATACCTCTCAACACCATCATTAGAATTTGTAAATTAGAGTCGAGTCAACGTGTTTAAGGACACAATTCCGTCACTATGCCATTAGTTCAGGTCATTAGGTCAATAGGTAACCAAAAACGTTTTAGGATACAGTCTTCGAGAAATCGCATAACCAATACAGTCATTACGAAATGCCAGGCGACTGTGTACAACGTCAGCAGAGGAATACAAGAGATGGATTCTCATCACCTCGGAGCCTGGGTCGGTCTCGGCGTAGTTAACGTTGATGTTGCCGCTAACAGGTGGATGGTGTAGAACTGTAACTCCGTCACTGTAGACGGCTTCAGTGCAGACATCTACGGCACACAGCTTCACAGCCGCCCTGAACGTGTACCCCGACTGAAGATTCAGGCCCGTGGACAGAACGTGGTGGCGGTGTCCCGTGTACTCCCAATCCTTCTCTGTATGCCACAGGTCGTCTGGGTGTAAAACAGCGTGCACGACAACATGATAACTTGACAGCATGACAACATATATGAATGAGCAACGAACACATAATGAGTTCACAAATACGCAATTCATTTTGCAATTTCAAAAAATGAATTCCATGTTATTATTTGGCTTCTAAAACCATTTTCCTGACGTGGGGTCAAGATGAAAGAATATAACGCATGCAAAATGATGTAAAATATAACCAAACTAAATACGTCTGTAAATAGCCAATCAATAAACAGTTAGTCAGCTTGACCTACTTTATGCCTGTATATGGAAATCAGTTTCTTGATTAGCCAATGAAATGCTATGCAGTGTATTTACATGTATTTACATATCGGTAAGGAAACAGAATTACGGTGTGGTCTCCAGTACCTGATAATGCGAACTTCTTTTCCAGCTTCCACTTGACATCCGGGTACTGGTGTGTGTATTGCTGTGTGACGTTCCAGTGGGCGGCGAACATGGTGGTTGACAGCTGATACTGCTGGTCCTCGTGACAATCAGACACGACAGACTGAAACATGAAACAAAAGTTTAAACACACGATATTCTTAAGATACCTATGCTTCAGGTGAAAAGAGCATCGTAAACCTACACAAAAAATGTCGTGTAATAGTGACACAAATGGGACTGTTGCTGTTTGACTCACCGTGTTGTGATGTGTAGGAGTCCAGTCCTGTGTTCCTGCAACATTTAAACATGAAAGAAGGTCATTGGCCATACAGACAAACAAAACATGTGCCTCTGGTGATGAACAATGGCAGCAAAGGAAGCGTTCGTAAAATATTAGGTTTTGCTTGTGGCAGATTTAGGCGGTCTGCTGGAAGAGTACTTGAGAGTTATCCACCTGTTAGTGTCACTGAACGTCAGAACAGACAACATCAATTCGTGAAATATCGTGATTTGACAGTGTCCAGTGTACTGGGTAATCGGAGGCCATCTCGGCTTACTTCCTGCTCTTGTCCAGTGTGGAATATCAGAAAACACGGATCTTCTGTCAACTTGCAACACGGATTAAAGAACGAAGCACTCGTTCCGTTCATGACCTTCGACTGTGGATATTTGTGAGTACTCTGGCATTCGTTTTAAAAACCTTTTGTTACTGATGGTGTTACGTATTTTATCCATCGCATTGCCCTTGTGAATGAAAACTGAAACTGTATGGCTCAATATAATTATTATCATTATTATTCGTAATACTTGTGTTGTTCATGATTTCACAACATATTCCTGTCAAAACCGACGTGTTAATTAAGAATTATTTCTCTTTAACCTCTCTCAGACAATACCTTGAAATGAATTACATCCCAGGCCGTCATATATCTTCATCTCAGAGATGTCAGCATTGTTGACAATAATGTTCACACCGTCAGATGATAGGGTCACCTCCCCAGCTGGCGACTTGGCCACTACTGTGGTGTAATATTTCTATAAAGACATCCAGACAATGTTAGCAGCAGTTATGTGTACGGTGAACGAGCTTACTTCATCATAACTATTTGCTTGTGCACCCACCTCACTCTTCACCACACATAAGGTTCATGTACTTGTGCACAGTTTCACTCACCTGGGTGGTGTTCAGCAGTAGATTCCGGAACTGATGCTGTGTGGAGTACCCGGTGTCCTCATAGCCTCTGACGTCAACCACCCCGGGCGTAGTGCCGATCCCCGCCTTGTAGGTCACGTTCAAGATGTCGTCATCAAACCCATACCACCTGGCCTTCAGCCCTATTGTTGACAGCTGGTAGTCGGAGTCCCGAAGTTCCTGCAATGCTGCAGACATTGTCACAGTCGTCGTGCAAATTTAGGGGCGCTTAGGGTGTCCGCCCGTCACGACAAAGTCCAGGTTCGATTCCCAAGATGATTACAATGTGTGCAACCCTTTTCTGGTGTCCTGTGCCGGGATATTGTTGGATCATTACTGAGGACGATGTACTCACTAACTCATACAAATTAAAGAATTTACTCTCAAAGTTTAAGATGTCATCCTTTATGTAGAAGCAACGAGATATCGATCATGCATTCTATACATGCATTCTGCTTTAAAAATACAATTTAGGAATGTCTGAAACAAGCGATTCGATCATTAATCATCGATTGTACGATTTTGTGATTTGACTGTATTGATGTTCTTCTTCATGTATATTGTATGCTTAATGTTATTTATGATATCATTTACTTTTGTAATCAAATATATTGTAATGAAATGCAAGTCGCATAAATGTCATTTTGTCTGGAGAGGCGTTAATATAAGCTTTTTGCTTGTTTGCCGATCCAGTTTCTGAACCATATATCAGAAGTAAATAGGTTTAAACCATTGTACGACTTCGACTGTACCCTGATCATGCGTTTATGCGTCAAAGACAATTTGCCATGAAAGAGTCCTTTGCTCTATTGAAGAACAATCAAAACGATGACATTATGTCCACTGACCGTGATCTGAAATAATTCCTCTTCATGTTCGGGGCAGATATCCATGACAACACCACGTGAGGGCAGTCTGACGTCATGGACGTAGGGTTCTGCTACCACCACTGTGGATAGCCCAACTATGTTGGTGACCCTCACTGATACGTAGTAGGCGTGGTTGTGGTGGAGGTCCCAGAGAAGGTCGGTGACAGCTATTGCTGTACATGTTGGCGGATACGTCACTGAGCACCCTGTTCCTGAACGCAGGTCAATGAAGGGCAGGATCTCGGTCCCATACGGCGATGTACCTATAAAGAGCAGAGAAACGGTCTAAATTATTTGTATGGATTCGGATAAGATTTTATCTCATAAGAAACCCTCTATGGTCGTTGGGGGCGAATAAGTATGTTGTGGCAAGGTTCCGTGACGAAGTTGATTGTCATTGTATCCAGTGGGTGGGAATCGTTGCTCATAATGTCGTTTACAGAATGCTTGTACTCGAACAGCTACATGCCACTGTCATATAGTTTGGTTATGTGCAGCGTCACACAAAGCTGATATATAAATATGATCCTCATGGTTCTACTCTGTTAGAAACGAAATAGATACATTTAAATAATTTATATTTCAAGTATTAAAGAGACCATCTAAACAAATACGTCCACTTCTTACCAACGGCAGCTGCATATTTGAGGTGTGCAACATCGGCGTCGGTGATGTGGGAGTTGTTCCATGTCACCAGAAGATGGCTCTGACTGGACGTCAGTGTAGCACTGACTCCCCCCGTTGAAGACGGGATTCCGGGTGTGGACAAGGAGAGGTCCTAGAACCTGAACAAAGCAAGGGTTGGTAGCTGTGAACATGGGTGAAAGGATAGGAGCGGTGTCAGGGAGTGTGTAATATGGCTACATAGGTTATATCTACCCATTGATCGTTCAACGAAACTGACATAGGGACACAGGAGTCAGACAATGAAGGAATCTGGGGCAGAGCAGTCAGCTGAAGATGTCAGCCACCTAGATCCGGTGGTCAGGATCTGTGACCTGGCAGATTGTGTGAAACCAAGATGGCAGGGATCGATGGTCGTGTTTTAAGTTACATGTCCAGACTAAATACACCCACTCGACGAATCAGTGAATCAGAAATAGTGTCACTTTACCTGAATGGCTGTGAGTCCAGCTTTGTTGATGGCCTTGATGGCGATGTAGAACTGTTGCCCCTCACTGAGAGGAGGGTGGTAGCCCTGATACTGAGGATGATGATGAGTGGACGTGAAGGGCAGGATGTCTGGAGCTGCTTCACCAGAAGGATTTGACATCACCCCTAGCTCGTAGTCATGGATACCGCTCTCCGTGTCAATTCCAGTCCAGTTAACAAACAGCTGACAAGAGCAAAATGTCATTGACAAATACCACTCTGAATCCTGATCTCAGTCTCAGTCAAGTTATGATCATCTTATACGTTAGTCTCAGTCAAGTTATGATGATCATATATGTTAGTCTCAGTCAAGTTATGATGATCATATACGATAGTCTCAGTAAAGTTACAATGATCATATACGTTAGTCTCAGTCAAGTTATGATCATCTTATACGTGAGTCTCAGTCAAGTTATGATGATCTTATACGTGAGTCTCAGTCAAGTTATGATGATCTTATACGTTAGTCTCAGTCAAGTTATGATGATCTTATACGTTAGTCTCAGTCAAGTTATGATGATCTTATACATTAGTCTCAGTCAAGTTATGATGATCTTATACGTTAGTCTCAGTCAAGTTATGATGATCTTATACATTAGTCTCAGTCAAGTTATGATGATCTTATACGTTAGTCTCAGTCAAGTTATGATGATCTTATACATTAGTCTCAGTCAAGTTATGATGATCTTATACGTTAGTCTCAGTCAAGTTATGATGATCTTATACGTTAGTCTCAGTCAAGTTATGATGATCTTATACGATAGTCTCAGTCAAGTTATGATGATCTTATACATTAGTCTTAGTCAAGTTATGATGATCTTATACGTGAGTCTCAGTCAAGTTATGATGATCTTATACGTTAGTCTCACTCAAGCTATGATGATCTTATACGTTAGTCTCACTCAAGCTATGATGATCTTATACGTTAGTCTCAGTCAAGTTATGATGATCTTATACGATAGTCTCAGTCAAGTTATGATGATCTTATACATACATTCAGTCAAGTCTTGAGTCAAGTTATGATGATCTTATCGTTATGAGTCTCAGTCAAGTTATGATGATCTTATACGATAGTCTCAGTCAAGTTATGATGATCTTATACGTTAGTCTCAGTCAAGTTATGATGATCTTATACATTAGTCTCAGTCAAGTTATGATGATCTTATACATTAGTCTCAGTCAAGTTATGATGATCTTATACATTAGTCTCACTCAAGTTATGATGATCTTATACGTTAGTCTCAGTCAAGTTATGATGATCTTATACATTAGTCTCAGTCAAGTTATGATGATCTTATACGTTAGTCTCAGTCAAGTTATGATGATCTTATACGTTAGTCTCAGTCAAGTTATGATGATCTTATACGTTAGTCTCAGTCAAGTTATGATGATCTTATACAATAGTCTCAGTGAAGTTATGATCATCTTATACATTAATCTCAGTCAAGTTATGATGATCTTATACGTTAGTCTCACTCAAGCTATGATGATCTTATACGTTAGTCTCAGTCAAGTTATGATGATCTTATACGTTAGTCTCAGTCTTATACGTTAAGTTATGATGATCTTATACGTTAGTCTCTCAAGTCAAGTCTTATGATGATCTTATACGTTAGTCTCAGTCAAGTTATGATGATCTTATACATTAGTCTCAGTCAAGTTATGATGATCTTATACGTTAGTCTCACTCAAGCTATGATGATCTTATACGTTAGTCTCAATCAAGTTATGATGATCTTATACGTTAGTCTCAGTCAAGTTATGATGATCTTATACGTTAGTCTCAGTCAAGATGATCTTATATGATGATCTTATACGTTAGTCTCAGTCAAGTTATGATCATCTTATACATTAATCTCAGTCAAGTTATGATGATCTTATACATTAATCTCAGTCAAGTTATGATGATCATATACGTTAGTCTCAGTCAAGTTATGATGATCATATATGTTAGTCTCAGTCAAGTTATGATGATCATATATGTTAGTCTCAGTCAAGTTATGATGATCTTATACAATAGTCTCAGTGAAGTTATGATCATCTTATACATTAATCTCAGTCAAGTTATGATCATCTTATACGATAGTCTCAGTCAAGTTATGATGATCTTATACATTAGTCTCAGTCAAGTTATGATCATCTTATACATTAGTCTCAGTCAAGCTATGATCATCTTATACATTAATCTCAGTCAAGTTATGACAATCTTATACGTTAGTCTCAGTCAAGTTATGATGATCTTATACGATAGTCTCAGTCAAGTTATGATGATCTTATACGATAGTCTCAATCAAGTTATGATGATCTTATACGATAGTCTCAATCAAGTTATGATGATCTTATACATTAGTCTCAGTCAAGTTATGATGATCTTATACATTAGTCTCAGTCAAGTTATGATGATCTTATACATTAGTCTCAGTCAAGTTATGATGATCTTATACATTAGTCTCAGTCAAGTTATGATGATCTTATACGTTAGTCTCAGTCAAGTTATGATGATCTTATACGATAGTCTCAATCAAGTTATGATGATCTTATACGTTAGTCTCAGTCAAGTTATGATGATCTTATACGTTAGTCTCAGTCAAGTTATGATGATCTTATACGATAGTCTCAGTCAAGTTATGATGATCTTATACGTTAGTCTCAGTCAAGTTATGATGATCTTATACATTAGTCTCAGTCAAGTTATGATGATCTTATACATTAGTCTTAGTCAAGTTATGATGATCTTATACATTAGTCTCAGTCAAGTTATGATGATCTTATACATTAGTCTCAGTCAAGTTATGATGATCTTATACGTTAGTCTCAGTCAAGTTATGATGATCTTATACGATAGTCTCAGTCAAGTTATGATGATCTTATACATTAGTCTCAGTCAAGTTATGATGATCTTATCAAGTTATGAGTCTCAGTCAGTCAAGTTATGATGATCTTATACGATAGTCTCAGTCAAGTTATGATGATCTTATACGTTAGTCTCAGTCAAGTTATGATGATCTTATACATTAGTCTCAGTCAAGTTATGATGATCTTATATGTTAGTCTCAGTCAAGTTATGATGATCTTATACGTTAGTCTCAGTCAAGTTATGATGATCTTATACGTTAGTCTCAGTCAAGTTATGATGATCTTATACGTTAGTCTCAGTCACAGTTATGATCATCTTATATGTTAGTCTCAGTCAAGTTATGATGATCTTATACGTTAGTCTCAATTACGTTATGATGATTAGATGACTACATTTACAACATATTTTCTAAAATATGCCAACTATTGATGTTTACACTTCCTACTATCAAATCAAGAATACGGGGTAGTAATGATTTACTTTTACATACGAGACTCATTTCGTACACAGTAAAACGTTCAGCATTTTACACCAAGAACTGTCAAATTAGTCCAGCAGCAACTAGTATAAAGCATTATATAGTAGGAATATTTATGTCTCGTACGTGATGTTCTGTAGAAATGTATATCGTGTAGTCACTTGACAACGATTCAGACTGTATGCAAAATGTTGCATTTTGCATAAACATCGTTTCGTTTCGCATCAAATGGATGGGGAACTTCTCCAACTCTGCTGCATCGATTGCTGTCCCTTTGGATCTGAAAGATTCATTGAGATATACCATGAACATGGAAAATATTCCTCGAGAAAGAGATCACAGTGTAAACACAAAAAACTGTACTTGAAAACAGGTGATATATGAATATTTAGAGTATAATCAATTACTGTCGGTGAAGCCATGCGTGATCTCCAACAAAAGAGAATCCCCCCAGCATTTAGCTTCCTTTGCATGCAACAAAGGTTTGTATGTCAATAAGATGAACTGCTAAACAACATTAATCACACAATGTCATCACAATGTTTACTTGTAAACACACCGTGAGTCAGCATAGAAGGTGGATATCGATTGTGTCTGGCACTTTTTTTCTTAAAGCTTGTGCACGGATGTAAATAAGTGTGTAAGTACAAAACTAGACAGAGTAGTCAATCATTATCTGTAGAGACATTTGTTTTCATAATATATAGGCAACATGTAAAGTTTACTATACAAAACGTTAATCCCCTGATGGTTTTTACCTGCATTGGGTATCTGGTTCAGTAATCTGGCTTCTCCTGCGTTGATTGTCGATGTACCAGACCGTCCCTGCAGAGGTTGTAACCAGACCAGGGACAATGTTACAGGAGGCTACAGCAATCTGTCCGACTGCTGGGGGTGTGACGTCAACTGTCACCCCGTCAGAACACACAGGGTCTGACGCCTCCAGGGCCCGGTTGTAGGCCACCACAGTCACGTGGTACTTCTCTGGGGTGGGAGCCGACCATGCTGCACGTGTCGAGTAGGTTTCCGTCACCTGGTGGGAATGTAACTGATGTGAAATAAGTGGCATCACAGCGAAAGATGGGGAATGTAGCTCCATTCCGGCAATGCCATGAGCGTCACAGAGAAACATCCTGAATGTAGTCTCCATTCCGGCAATGTCATGAGCGTGATGGGTGACTTAACATCATCATTCCCAGTAAACTTTTCCTGAAGGTCTGAAGAGAGACATGTGCCTGTATCTATGTTCATCATATCAGCAAATACCCCATGGATCAAGGGATGACATGTTTCCTTAATCGTTCAAGTGGGATAATTGGGTATAAAGTTAAATAAACATTTCAACAGAGCTGAACTCAGTCCGTTACTGAAATTTATAAACATTCAGGGAAACCTTTTAGATTTAGTGAATACCTTATGTGCCTATAGAGAAATCGTTTCTTGATTGTATTCAGTTCATGATTATTGTTCGAGACAGGGATTTCGTGGTACATTTTGCTGGACCCAGCAATATAACCCCCTTTGTTCGGATGTTTATGCAGCTTTGCAATCCAGTACAAAGAGGAATGGGCATGTCAACATGTTTTAATAATGTCATCGTCTCCACAAGAGGAAATTTGATAAACGCTCATAGGCAGGAAGGCAAACACGTACATTAAATACACTCGTATCCAGACCAAAATGCTCCTTTTGTAAACACGAGTCCGCGAACCGATACTGGTAGAACTTGACACCACTCTCCCTGTCAAAGAATCCGTCCTAGTGGGCGTGGAGCTGTAGACTGTCCTGGTAGTCCACTTCCTGTTGTCCAGGCTGACCATCATGGACAACTCCAGGGTGTGGTGCACTCGCGTCTACAGTCACCTAGAGGAGCAGTAACATCATAGACGGTGTCACCTGCTGGTGCAGTAACATCATAGATTGTGATACATAGTTATGTGGTAACATCATAGAATGTGTCTCCTGTAGTAACATCACAGACTGTGTCACATAGAGGTGTAGTAACATCGTAGAATGTTTCACCAAGTTGAGCAATAACACTGTGTATTAAATTCGGATGCATATATTTATGTGTCACCTAGAGGGGCAGTAACATCATAGAATGTGTCACATAGAGGGGCAGTAACATCATAGAATGTGTCACCAAGAAATGTAGTAACATCATAGAATGTGAAACCGAAACCGAATGTCAAACATCCTCACCTTGATGGCAAGTGATGTGTTTAGTTTGGCGTGGTTCATCACTGTAATCTGTATGAAGTAGTCGGAGTCATGAACACCCTTGTGTAGGTCGTGGAACACGCCACCATGACTGAGATTAGACGAGATTATGCGTGGTTTGATCTGGAAGTGTCTGTGATAACATCCTGTTCCTGGTGTACAGTAGCAGTTGGCGCCTCGTGGATAGTCGCCGTACCTCGCTGTACAGTTGGCCAGGTTCTGGGAGCAGGTAAACACAACTGTACAAACACCTAGGTAATCGTGTCCAGTTTACAATAAACAACACAATTTTAAACTTAGATTTAAACACAAATTTAAATTTATAGACGAAGAAGGCGAAGAAAGCACACGCATTACGATTAACAGATAAAAGAAACATACTGACGAAAGAGAGATCAAAGGGGACATACTGACAAAAGAGAGATCAAAGGAACATACGGGCAGAAGATAGATCGAAAAAGAAACATACTGGTAGAAGATCAGATACTGACGAAAGAAGATCAAAACATACTGGCAAAGAAACAAGAGAGATCAAAGAAACACTACAGATGACGAAAGAGGACATACTTCAAGAAACATGCTGTGTCTACCTTGAGGGTGAAATATGGTCTTCTCCGTGGTAGATGGTGGAGCCGGTAAAGTGGTCGTAGATTCTCCAGGAGACAGTCTCCAGACCACTGTGGTCATCAAAGGCTAGCCACTCAAATCTTAAATGTAAAACGAGACTTGGTTGATTGAGTGACTCCAATGCATATTTCAACTAGGTCACGACATGTCAGCCTCGTGAGGGAGGGAAACCCTGAGGTACTGACAAACCAAGGACCATTATTGATGTAAAGGTAAAACTTGAGGACATGATCAGAAGTTTGACGGTTGGGAGGAACCATCGAAACTAGGGGGAAACCTCCGTTGCCATCGTTTAACCGGAACGTATTGTTTACTTAATTAGCATAGCATAGACATGGAACACCTACGTCATTTCATTGAATTCCTCTACTCTGTGAACGGTGATGTTGAGTCGGTCTCCCCTGGTGAGCCACAGGTTCTCTATGACTGGAGGGGACGTGTCCACGTGGACAGTCACACTCTCCTCAAGGAGTTCACGTCTGACGTCGTACGCCCTGACCCAGAACCTCACGGTGTCTCCGTCCACGAGCACTGGCGTGATCGTCTGGTGCTGCATCAGACCCTGGCTCTGGAACTCGGCGTCAGGAGGGGGAGAGGGGATGATACTACCCCCACTGTGGTCAGTCAGGAAGGCGGTGCGGTATTCAACTATGGCTGAAATATGGAAACCATGTCTCTCGGTGACAAGTCATATATAAGTGGGGATCTAGGTTGTGGCAGGACATCAGAACACTGATGCTGGACAACAAAGCATCACGTATATTCAGGCAGAGAGAACTTGCTTATTAGGCAGATTGAACTCGAAAATAAATTGATGTGTACCACTCAATTTTTGAGGAACGTCCAATGTCTTTCATAGTGGCATACGTCATTGTCTATTGACTGTCATAGCAACATACGTCATTGTCCACTGCATGTCATATTTATCTTACTGAACATCTCAATGTTAATTTTGAACTGTTTGAAGCACGGGTATCGGACCATAATAAGGAGTAGCAGAGTTAGGCAATTAGCCAATACCGACAACGACAGACAAGAAAAGTAAATTAAGAGTTATCGCCCTTCCACAGATTTGCAGTCGCAAAGAATCGATAATTTCCGTACATCATTCATGACTCAGTTATTCGAGATAAAGAATTACTATCACGAAGTGCCAGATGATTCACACAGTTCGGCATTGCCAGTGGGTAACATGTTCCATGTTACTCGCTTCTAAGCGGAGTACATTGAAAATATAACTGAAAACCTTATGCAGATGAATTGCACAAGGATGATGCTTCAAATTGCGAAAGGCATGAGCAAATGTCGTGCATGTGAACAGATTCGTTTTGGTGTAAAGTTTTGTTAAGAATTCGCCAATTTTCACAGATTTTAATCATTTACTGAACTCATGACAATAATCTTTTCAATGTTACGAATATGTTTTACAATACACCAGTTCATAACTAAACAGTACCTTTAAACAGTATGGAATATTTTGCAAAAAGCTAGTTTAGAACAGTGGACAAGTAAGTGGCTACATTTACACTAGTGAGTCTAAACTTTTGATGGGTAGTATATTAGAAGAGAGACATTTATATGTCTAGTTACCTCAAACATAAATGTCGTTTTCTGATTGGCTGAGCAAATCAATGTACCCCGCTTACAATCGAGTAACATTTCCTATGTTACCCGCTGGAAATGCCGAACAGTGGGAATTCGTTTGGAACTACATTTAGTATTGTTTGGGATGTTGCCTCACTCCGGTACTCCTTATCCAATATCCGTGTTTCAAACAGTTCAAAAATAACATTGAGGTGTTCGGCAAGATAAATACGTTTTTCACTGGTCACGAGGGGGGCATGGGTTTATGTACCCTCTATGCATAAATAAGGGCTCAAGGAACATAAACAAACATCGAGGGTACATCAGCCCATGCTCCCCTCGTGACCAGTGAATAACTTATATTGTTGCCACTATCAGTCACAGGACATACGCTAATACTCGTGCTATCTACCATTGACTGAAACCGTGTAACTTTCAGTCACCAACCGTGACGGAATTGTGATAAGTCCACTCGCGTTTGAATAACACCGAAGATCAGGTCTATCAACCTGTTACTGATACTTGAAATTAATCCATACTATGCAGGTCCTGGGCGGTAAACACTAATTCCAAGGACTTCCTCACCCTGTACATGATCAATGGCGTCTATTCCCCTGGAGTGATTGTTATCGTCATAGTCACTTGTGACGTCATGCGAGGGGGCTACTTGCTTCAGCCATCCATTGTTCAAATGGAGCGTGTTGATATACCTAGAGAACATACAGGGATGTGCTATATTGTTGTATAGTTGAAATACAGGTTTACAAATATATGTGTATCAGTATGTTATTAGTTATAAGTGAGGAAGTATACTACCCATCAAAAGTTTAGAGTCACTTAAAGTATTTATCATATGTTATGCATATAGATCTACATATGGTTACATCGAAGATGAATTTCTCCACTACTTGAGGGAACCAACTGCAAACCTAATGCAGATGAATTGCACGACAATCATGCATCAAATTGCTGAAAAGCATATGCAAATATCGTGCATGTGAACAGCTGCGTTTTGGTGTAAAGTTTTCTTAAAGATTCGTCAATTTTCACTGAGTTTCATCATTTATTGAACTCATGACAATAATGCTTTCAACGTGACGAATTTGTTTACAATACATCAGTTCATGTGTAAACAGTTCCTTTAAACAGTATGGAATATTTTGCAAAATCTAGTTTACGAGAGTTGCCTGAAGTAAGTGGCTACATTTAGACTAGTGAGTCTAAACTTTTGATGGGTAGTTTATTTTTCAGCATAACAAATGCATGTAGATATTTCAGGTTATCTATGTACTTCGGCCAGCTGGGTAGCCTAGTGGTTAAAACTTTATCTCGTCTCGCCCAAGGTCCAGGATCGACTCCCATATTGGTTCAAAGTTCGGTTCCAGTGCCCTCTGCTATGAGATTGTTCGAATGCATTACTGCTCATTCTAATTACGCTTTTAGCGACTTTTGTTGTATTTAACCTTTTTCCAATTAGTCTGGGTACTCATGCCAAATTTGAACACAGTCAGTTGCCCTAGAGAGTCACAACAGTAATGAGAGAATGTGTCCTTACCTCTTCTCCCAATCCACAGATACGCCGGTCGTGTTCCACTGCCAGCGATTACGTGCTATTGGTGCTGAGGACGTCACCAACAGCCTCGTACCATGGACCACGTCCACATTTGACACCTCATCGTAGATGAATATTCGCCGAGCACTCTTGCTGTTCTCAGCCTTGTCGTAAGCAGTTAACACAAGCGCATACACCCGGGGTGTGACAGACGAAACTGACTGGTAGATATCTGAAAGTCAAAGGTGATACTGTATTATTAAAACATTAAAGGTCAGATGACAGACAGCCCCAACACAATAGTTAACCACATACGTCAATTACAACAGTGACATATCGTGTTCTGTTTGTAATATGATGAAGTAAACTGAGTGTGTGGTGTCCAGCACACGCTGACCAGTATGTCAGTGGGTTGACACCATGTCAGTCTGGTGTTCACAACACCCAGACTAGTATGTCAGTGAGCTGGTGTCCACCACACCCTGGCCAGTATGTCAGAGAGTTGATGTCCACCACACCCAGACCAGTATGTCAGTGAGCTGATGTCCACCACACCCTGACCAGTATGTCAGTGAGTTCATATCCACCACACCCTGACCAGTATGTCAGTGAGTTCATGTCCATCACACCCTGACCAGTATGTCAGTAAGTTGATGTCCACCACACCCTGGCCAGTATGTCAGTGAGTTGATGTCCACCACACCCAGACCAGTATGTCAGTGAGTTAATGTCCACCATACCCTGGCCAGTATGTCAGTGAGTTGATGTCCACCACACCCTGGCCAGTATGTCAGTGAGTTGATGTCCACCACACCCTGACCAGTATGTCAGTGAGTAGATGTCCACCACACCCTGGCCAGTATGTCAGTGAGTCGATGTCCACCACACCCTGACCAGTATGTCGGTGAGTTGATGTCCACCACACCCTGACCAGTATGTCAGTGAGCTGGTGTCCACCACACCTTAACCAGTATGTCAGTAAGTTAATGTCCACCACACCCTGGCCAGTATGTCAGTGAGTTGATGTCCACCACACCCTGACCAGTATGTCAGTGAGTTGATGTCCACCACACCCTGGCCAGTATGTCAGTGAGTTGGTGTCCACCACACCCTGGCCAGTATGTCAGTGGGCTGGTGTCCACCACACCCTGAGCAGTATGTCAGTGAGTTGATGTCCACCACACCCTGGCCAGTTTGTCAGTGAGTTGATGTCCGCCACACGCTGACCAGTATGTCAGTGAGTTGATGTCCACCACAACCTGGCCAGTATGTCAGTGAGTTCATGTCCATCACACCCTGGCCAGTATGTCAGTAAGTTGATGTCCACCACACCCTGGCCAGTATGTCAGTGAGTTGATGTCCACCACACCCTGACCAGTATGTCAGTGAGTTGATGTCCACCACACCCTGGCCAGTATGTCAGTGAGTTGATGTCCACCACACCCTGGCCAGTATGTCAGTGAGTTCATGTCCACCACACCCTGGCCAGTATGTCAGTGAGTTCATGTCCACCACACCCTGGCCAGTATGTCAGTGAGTTGATGTCCACCACACCCAGACCAGTATGTCAGTGAGTTGATGTCCACCACACCCTGGCCAGTATGTCAGTGAGCTGGTGTCCACCACACCCTGGCCAGTATGTCAGTGAGCTGGTGCCCCTCACACCCTGAGCAGTATGTCAGTGAGTTGATGTCCACCACACCCTAACCAGTATGTCAGTAAGTTGATGTCCACCACACCCTGGCCAGTATGTCAGTGAGTTGATGTCCACCACACCCTGACCAGTATGTCAGTGAGTTGATGTCCACCACACCCTGGCCAGTATGTCAGTGAGTTGATGTCCACCACACCCTGACCAGTATGTCAGTGAGTTGATGTCCACCACACCCTGACCAGTATGTCAGTGAGTTGATGTCCACCACACACAGACCAGTATGTCAGTGAGTTGATGTCCACCACACCCTGACCAGTATGTCAGTGAGCTGGTGTCCACTACACCCTGACCAGTATGTCAGTGAGTTGATGTCCACCACACCCTGGCCAGTTGGTCAGTGAGTTGATGTCCACCACACCCAGACCAGTATGTCAGTGAGTTGATGTCCACCACAACCTGGCCAGTATATCAGTGAGCTGGTGTCCACCACACCCTGGCCAGTATTTCAGTGAGTTGATGTCCACCACACCCTATCCAGTATGTCAGTGAGTTGATGTCCACCACACCCTGACCAGTCTGTCAGTGAGTTGATGTCCACCACACCCTGACCAGTATGTCAGTGAGTTGATGTCCACCACACCCTGGCCAGTATGTCAGTGAGTTCATGTCCACCACACCCAGACCAGTATGTCAGTGAGTTCATGTCCACCACACCCTGGCCAGTATGTCAGTGAGTTTATGTTCACCACACCCTGACCAGTATGTCAGTGAGTTGATGTCCACCACACCCTGGCCAGTATGTCAGTGAGTTGATGTCCACCACACCCTGGCCAGTATGTCAGTGGGTTGATGTCCACCAAACCCTGGCCAGTATGTCAGTGAGTTGACACCATGTCAACCTGATAGGAAGGAAGGCTTATTGCGATGCAGGTCTTAGATATGAAACCCACCAGCACGGATGAGTTGTCGAGACCATAATGGCTGCGTTTGATTACTTCCGACACTTTGACAACAGCATACCTCGCCTCTATGTCTGTCAGATTCAAAGGCCAGCGATTTCTCCACAAGTCGAGAGTCACTTGTGTTGGGATGTTCGTCATGAAGTTCAGAGACCGACACCAAGTAGGAGTACGACAGTACATCATCCCTCCAACCTTGCCAGGAGACATTGATCGGGGCCTGCAGACAGAAGAATACATTGCAGGTGTACAGGAGAGTCACCATCACATTGGTAGGGGCCTGGAGACAGGAGAATACATTGCAAGTGTATAGGAAAGTCATCAACACATTGATCGGGGCCTGGAGACAGGAGAATACATTGCAGGTGTATAGGAAAGTCATCAACACATTGATCGGGGCCTGGAGACAGGAGAATACATTGCAGGTGTACAGGAAAGTCATCATCACTTTGATCGGGGCCTGGAGACAAAATACATTACAGGTGTATATCAAAGACATCAACACATTGATCGGGGCCTGGAGACAGGAGAATACATTGCAGGTGTACAGGAGAGTCACCATCACATTGATCGGGGCTTGGAGACAGGAGAATACTTTGCAGGTGTATATCAAAGTCATCAACACATTGGTAGGGGCCTGGAGACAGAGAATACATTGCAAGTGTATAGGAAAGTCATCAACACATTCATCGGGGCCTGGAGATAGGAGAATACATTGCAGGTGTACAGGAAAGTCATCATCACTTTGATCGGGACCTGGAGACAAAATACATTGCAGGTGTATATCAAAGACATCAACACATTGATCGGGGCCTGGAGACAGCAGAATACATTGCAGGTGTATAGGAAAGTCATCAACACATTGATCGGGGCCTGGAGACAGGAGAATACATTGCAGGTGTATAGGAAAGTCATCAACACATTCATCGGGACCTTGAGACAGGAAAATACATTGCAAGTGTACAGGAAAGACATCATCACATTGATCGGGGCCTGGAGACAGGAGAATACATTGCAAGTGTACAGGAAAGTCATCAAGACATTGATCGGGGTCTGGAGACAGGAGAATACATTGCAAGTGTACAGGAAAGTCATCATCAATTTGATCGGGGCCTGGAGACAGGAGAATGCATTGCTGGTGTATAGGAAAGCCATCAACACATTGATCGGGGCCTGGAGACAGGAGAATACATTGCAGGTGTATAGGAAAGTCATTAACTTATTGATCGGGGCCTGGGGACAGAATAATACATTGCAGGGGTATACAACACTCATCAACACATTGATCGGGGCCTGGAAACGGACGAATGCACTGCAGTTGAAAAACCAAGAGAATTATAGAGATTTCGCTTCTCATATCCCAGAATTACATACTTTTAGTTGCAAAGGCTGACAACATTTTACATTATTTAATCAAGATCGTTGAGGAAAATTACGGCTTGCCCCCAATGACCTGTATGTGGGTCTTGGCCAGAGATATCATGTCCTCCGTGCAGTTCTCCTCCACATCTACACTGCAGTGATGTGGGTCTATGAAGTCGAACCCGAGAATGTAGCGATTGATTTGTGTCTTCCCTTCGTAGTAGTAGGTGACGAGGATGCCGCTCTCCTTGTTCCTCACTTTAACGTAGCCGCCATTAGTTGCCTCGAATGTGAATTCCATTCTTAGGAAGAATAGAGGAGTAAAATTAGTTTAAGTGTACGTAATGTGCTGTTTAAGTATTAGGTAATGTGCAGTTTAAGTATACGTAATGTGCTGTTTAAATAATACGTAATGTGCTGTTTAAGTAATACGTAATGTGCTGTTTAAGTAATACGTAATGTGCTGTTTAAGTAATACGTAATTTGTTGTTATCTTAACCATTTAAAATCTAATCAATGAGCATTTGGTATTGTACCAACATGCACGTCATTTAAGGAATCCCCTCATCAGTCCTGTGACTCACATGTCGCCACTCTCCACTGGAAGCGAGAGAAACGTTTCCGCACTGACGTCTTCTTCGCAGGTCAGCTTAGACTGATGAGGTGCCGTTTTACTGGAGCCATTGCAGGGTCGTACAGTACTCATAATGACAGAGTTGTCTGGAACAAACCTGTAACCTCAGATCTCCGTACATCCATCGGACTACCCATACTCGGGATACTGGGGAATCCCAACGGTAAGTATTGTTACTTAAAGGATCAAAGGTGCTGGGTATGGACAGAATATAGTAAAAATATGTAGGAAATAACTAATATGAATATATTATGAAATTCAATAAACCAGTTCCATAGTCGTACCTATAGAACACATACGGTTACCACATGTTTGTACTGCAATAATATCGAGTTCGGTCAAAGACATTGCCATGGTTAACTAATACACAAACACGGCAAAGTCCTGGCGCAATCACAGAATATTATAGGAGAATGGAGTTCGATTCCGACAATTTCGAATGTGATAAGAGGGATAATACCAGGTATTAGCGAACAGAATCCTGACTAAACGTTAGCACCCATCACAACAAACACATGCAAAGCCATGTCAATTATCCACGGGAACAAACAGCGTTCCTACTTCTTGTAACTTCAAATGTTGCCTTGGCTTTGATGATGCCAACAGCAAAGCCCTCTACATAGGCGTGTCTGTGTGGTGGAGTCGCAGTCATGATGAACTTGGTCTCGAACTTGTAGTAGATCGTCCTGGTGTCGTTTATGTTGGTCCACGACTCCTCCTGGGGCGCTCCTTCATTGGGGTTGTCTGGTGCTTCAACCTTGTCCAGCCCTGGCCCGGTCACCTTCAGTGTGTTGTACATAATGGACGGGTACGTGTCGACTGGAAATACAAGGTGAATGTGTGAATTCAGTTTGCCTTTACATCCAGTTTTATTATTCTCTGATCTGAACCCACTCCTTACCGTATCTTTGTTTGGAACGGTTCAAGAATCACAACACGATGTAGCTATGAAGGTAGTGGCGCTATGTTCAAAACAAGACATCATTAAAGCTGACAGCATTAGGAAGCAAACACACGAGGTATGTATAGATAATAGGAAATGATGTTCAGGCAGAAAACATATATCAACGGCCTGGAAATATCCGAGTGTGGACCAGATAACCCCGTGAAAGAGAAACATCGGGTATACCCCCATCTTCTCCAGGACAAGAGTGGGATACTGGGGCCCTGCTGTGACCTAAGGCAGCAGTGGAAAGCGTTCACCTCACTGTGTACAAGCAGCGATCTATATAAGGATGGCCAGAAGCTCATTGATTAGAATATAGTAAAGCACTTTTGTAATAAATCTTCTGCAATATTTTCCTGGTGTAACACTGGTTTTGTAGATATATTTTGCTCCTACTTTTCTCGCAGTGGTTGCCACTAAACTCTGCTGTACAGATACAATTCCTGGCATATTCATCTGCACATTCTCCAGGGTAGCACCGTGTGCTGTCACTCCGCCACGAACAGGCCTCTGAAAACATACAGCATGGTCATGTCAGTCACACAGGACAGCAAGGTCTCTAACTACAGGCACCATCATGTCAGTCACACAGGACAACAAGGTCACTAGCTACAGGCACCATCATGTCAGTCACACCGGACAACAAGGTCACTAGCTACAGGCACCATCATCTCAGTCACACAGGATAACAAGGTCACTAGCTACAGGCACCATCATGTCAGTCACACCGGACAACAAGGTCACTAGCTACACCCACCATCATGTCAGTCACACATGACAACAATGTCACTAGCTAGAGGCACCATCATGTCAGTCACACTGGACAACAAGGTGACTTGCTACAGGCACCATCATGTCAGTGACAACGCACAATCAAGGTCACTAGCTACAGGTGCCATCATGTCAGTCACACCAGACAACAAGGTCACTAGCTACAGGCACCATCATGTCAGTCACACCAGACAACAAGGTTACTAGCTACAGGCACCATCATGTCAGTCACACCGGACAACAAGGTCACTAGCTGCAGGCACCATCAGGTCAGTCACACCTGACAGCATGGTCTCTTACTACAGGTACCATCATGTCAGTCACAACGGACAACAAGGTCACTAGCTACAGGCACCATCATGTCAGTCACACATGATAACAAGGTCACTAGCTACAGGCACGATTCGATCAGTCACACCGGACAACAAGGTCACTAGTTACAGGCACCATCATGTCAGTCACACCGGACAACAAGGTCACTAGCTACAGGCGCCATCAGGTCAGTCACACCTGACAGCATGGTCTATTACTACAGGCAACATCATGTCAGTCACACCGGACAACAAGGTCACTAGCTACAGGCAACATCATGTCTGTCACACCGGACAACAAGGTCACTAGCTACAGGCACCATCATGTCAGTCACATCGGACAACAAGGTCACTAGCTACAGGCACCATCATGTCAGTCACACCTGACAGCATGGTCTATTACTACAGGCAACATCATGTCAGTCACACAGGACAACAAGGTCACTAGCTACAGGCAACATCATGTCTGTCACACCGGACAACAAGGTCACTAGCTACAGGCACCATCATGTCAGTCACACATGATAACAAGGTCACAAGCTACAGGCACGATTCGATCAGTCACACCGGACAACAAGGTCACTAGTTACAGGCACTATCATGTCAGTCACACCGGACAACAAGGTCACTAGCTACAGGCGCCATCAGGTCAGTCACACCTGACAGCATGGTCTATTACTACAGGCAACATCATGTCAGTCACACCGGACAACAAGGTCACTAGCTACAGGCAACATCATGTCTGTCACACCGGACAACAAGGTCACTAGCTACAGGCACCATCATGTCAGTCACATCGGACAACAAGGTCACTAGCTACAGGCACCATCATGTCAGTCACACCTGACAGCATGGTCTATTACTACAGGCACCATCATGTCAGTCACACCGGACAACAAGGTCACTAGCTACAGGCAACATCATGTCTGTCACACCGGACAACAAGGTCACTAGCTACAGGCACCATCATGTCAGTCACATCGGACAACAAGTTCACTAGCTACAGGCACCATCATGTCAGTCACACCAGACAACAAGGTTACTAGCTACAGGCACCATCATGTCAGTCACACCGGACAACAAGGTTACTAGCTACAGGCACCATCATGTCAGTCACACCAGGCAACAAGGTTACTAGCTACAGGCACCATCATGTCAGTCACACCGGACAACAAGGTCACTAGCTACAGGCAACATCATGTCTGTCACACCGGACAACAAGGTCACTAGCTACAGGCACCATCATGTCAGTCACATCGGACAACAAGGTCACTAGCTACAGGCACCATCATGTCAGTCACACCTGACAGCATGGTCTATTACTACAGGCACCATCATGTCAGTCACACCGGACAACAAGGTCACTAGCTACAGGTGCCATCATGTCAGTCACATCGGACAACAAGGTCACTAGCTACAGGCACCATCATGTCAGTCACATCGGACAACAAGGTTACTAGCTACAGGCACCATCATGTCAGTCACACCGGACAACAAGGTTACTAGCTACAGGCGCAATCATGTCAGTCACATCGGACAACAAGGTTACTAGCTACAGGCACCATCATGTCAGTCACACCGGACAACAAGGTCACTAGCTACAGGCAACATCATGTCAGTCACACCGGACAACAAGGTCACTAGCTACAGGCACCATCATGTCAGTCACACCGGACAACAAGGTCACTAGCTACAGGCACCATCATGTCAGTCACACCTGACAGCATGGTCTATTACTACAGGCACCATCATGTCAGTCACACCGGATAACAAGGTAACTAGCTACAGGTGCCATCAGGTCAGTCACACCAGACAACAAGGTTACTAGCTACAGGCACCATCATGTCAGTCACACCGGACAACAAGGTCACTAGCTACAGGCACCATCATGTCAGTCACACCGGACAACAAGGTTACCAGCTACAGGCACCATCATGTCAGTCGCACCGGACAACAAGGTTTCTAGCTACAGGCACCATCATGTCAGTCACACCAGACAACAAGGTTACTAGCTACAGGCACCATCATGTCAGTCACACCGGACAACAAGGTCACTAGCTACAGGCACCATCATGTCAGTCACACCGGACAACAAGGTCACTAGCTACATGCGCCATCAGGTCAGTCACACCGGACAACAAGGTCACTAGTTACAGGCACCATCATGTCAGTCACACCGGACAACAAGGTCACTAGCTACAGGCGCCATCAGGTCAGTCACACCTGACAGCATGGTCTCTTACTACAGGCACCATCATGTCAGTCACACAGGACAACAAGGTCACTAGCTACAGGCACCATCATGTCAGTCACACCGGACAACAAGGTCACTAGCTACAGGCAACATCATGTCAGTCACACCGGACAACAAGGTCACTAGCTACAGGCACCATCATGTCAGTCACATCGGACAACAAGGTCACTAGCTACAGGCACCATCATGTCAGTCACACCGGATAACAAGATCTCTAGCTACAGGTGCCATCATGTCAGTCACACAGGACAACAAGGTCTCTAGCTACAGGCACCATCATGTCACACACAGGAAAACAAGGTCACTAGCTACAGGCACCATCATGTCAGTCACACATGACAACAAGGTCACTAGCTACACACGCCATCAGGTCAGTCATACCTGACAGCATGGTCTCTTACTACAGGCACCATCATGTCAGTCACACAGGACAATAAGGTCACTAGCTACAGGCACCATCATGTCAGTCGCACATGACAACAAGGTCACTAGGTACGGACACCATCATGTCAGTCACACAGGACAACAAGGTGACATGCTACAGGCACCATCATGTCAGTCACACCAGAAAACAAGGTTACTAGCTACAGGCACCATCATGTCAGTCACACCGGACAACAAGGTCACTAGCTACAGGCGCCATCAGGTCAGTCACACCTGACAGCATGGTCTCTTACTACAGGCACCATCATGTCAGTCACACCGGACAACAAGGTCACTAGCTACAGGCACCATCATGTCAGTCACACAGGACAACAAGGTCACTAGCTACAGGCACCATCATGTCAGTCACACCGGACAACAAGGTGACTTGCTACAGGCACCATCATGTCAGTCACATCGGACAACAAGGTCAGTAGCTACAGGCACCATCATGTCAGTCACACCGGACAACAAGGTCACTAGCTACAGGCACCATTCTATCAGTCACACCGGACAACAAGGTCACTAGCTACAGGCACCATCATGTCAGTCACACCGGACAACAAGGTCACTAGCTACAGGCACCATCATGTCAGTCACACAGGACAACAAGGTCACTAGCTACAGGCACCATCATGTCAGTCACACAGGACAACAAAGTCACTAGCTACATGCACCATCATGTCAGTCACACAGGAAAACAAGGTCACTAGCTACAGGCACCATCATGTCAGTCACACCGGACAACAAGGTCACTAGCTACAGGCACCATCATGTCAGTCACACAGGACAACAAAGTCACTAGCTACATGCACCATCATGTCAGTCACACAGGACAACAAGGTCACTAGCTACAGGCAACATCATGTCAGTCACAACGGACAACAAGGTCTCTAGCTACAGGCACCATCATGTCAGTCACACTGGACAACAAGGTCTCTAGCTACAGGCACCATCATGTCAGTCACACTGGACAACAAGGTCTCTAGCTACAGGCACCATCATGTCAGTCACACCGGACAACAAGGTCACTGACTACAGGCACCGTCACAATCGTAAACTACAAATATACGCTTTATGTGAATACTCTTTCC